CGTCTGCTGAAACGGCGCATAAAAGGGAGAATAGATTCATATAAATTATTAATAATATGAATTGTAAATAAAACTAAACTCCTATTTTGAGTTGTAATTATATTAGGCTACAAAATTCATTTAAGTTATTGAAATATTAATGGTATATTTAATGTGTATACATCAAAAAAAGTAAATAAAATCTTCACAAACTTGCATTCTTTGCGTACTGTTACAGAATATAGTATATATTTGAACTGATCTAGAGGATTAGGTAGTATTTAGTTTGTATTGAAATGTGACAACTTCGAAAAGTTACTGTGTCTACTATTCGAATATTTACTCTGCGAAATAGTTCAGTTTTCGTTAACTATCTTCTGTACCTGAGAAGTAGAAGAGTATAGTACATTAGATTTGTGCAAAGCGAGAAATTTAACAGGCAGAAGGAGGCCTGGCAGACCCCTTAAAATCTTGATCAGCATGCCAAGGCAAGTCGTTTACTTCAATGGATTTAAAGTAAATTTTTATCTTTGAACATTTTGGAGTATCAGTTTTTAGTTTACAAGTATTTTTAAAATACTTTGCTTAAGTTATAAATATTTCTATTACCAGAGTTCTTTAAAATTAAACACAAAAGTGGACAATTAATTAATTGAATGTGGCAATCAGAAAAGAAATCGAGTGTATATTTGATAAATATTTTGAGTGGAATTCTACATTGTATTTTTATTCCAATGCAGTAAAATAGTGCTTCCAAAAAAGCAAAGCGACGGCTTTATTGGCATTTGTAGAGTCAACTGCTTAAATGTGCAACTTGATTTCCAAGCCAATGCTTCTGTTTTATTAAATTCACATTTAACAAAGCCTTCATTTGTTTATCTTGCACTGTTTGTGCACCATCGTTATGTAGTTTTTCTTGCTCAGTTTATTTTTGCAGAGCATACTCGTACTTATAAAGCTTTTCCCAACACTCAAAATATGGAAAAATGTGCGCAACTTGCGGCTCAAAGGTAAACAGGGAAATAATCTCGAGCGAAATTCTTGCCATTTCAAGCAGAAATGCAGAATGCTACGCATTTGTGTAAATATTTCTTTAGATGTAATCGCATTCGTATGTTGTGGCCCATTTAATTTGGCTAAAATATTGTTGCTGCTTTCGCTGCTGATTCGGATTCGAATTTGGATTTGGATGATGATCATAATGATGGTAAGGAAAAGGAATGACTGCGCAAAAATAAAGTGTGGCAGCCAAAACAACAGCAACAGCAACAGCGTTGCAAGAAATGTGATCAGCCAACAGTTGAGTGAACTCATTATTAAAAGTGTAGTCGGTATTTCATTATTTTAGCTGAAATTGCACAAATTACAGCAACAAAACAAAGAAAAAGGGGGCCAACGAGAATATCATACATAATCATAATTATTTGCATTTCAATAAGTTGGACGGACTGTGTGACCGGCCGGCCGCTTGCTGGTACCGTTAAATATTTGAACATGCTATGACCAAACAATGCCGGCTTTATTTTCTGAGCCATCAATGGTTGCACCAGCACTACAGCGGCTACAGTGGCAGCCACGCGTATCTGTCAGATACATTTGCATATGTAAAGCATAAACATTTGTCTGTTTGACAGTCTGACATTCTGACAATCTGACAGTCCGACTTCAGCACATCACAGCTTAACTGATTCCGTCGAAAGGCGATAAACCAGAGGGTTCTTTGAACTGTGATTTAACATTGAACAGCAACTTTATGGCTCTGTCTCTTAAAGACAAACTAATGCGCCGCTAGGCATTTGAATCGAGCTCAGAACACGCATATAATTTAATGCGGGCCGCTCTCTTCCTCTACTCTGTTTCTTGTTCTTGACGTAGCTTGTCAGCACATAAAAATAAAAAAGTGTGTCTATCTGTTTGGGTTATGGTGATAAACCGTTAGTGCATGCATTAGTTGGCAGCCTACGCTCCACTGTGCTTCTTTAGTTCTTAAAGCTCATCCCAACAGAATTGTCACGTACCGCTCCGAAAATCAATAAATAAAGTTTGACTGATTTACTTTTCTCTCGTGGGCTGGGAAGTAATTTGATTTCCAGTAGAATCGGAGAAATTACAACGAACAGCTATAAAGCTGATGTCTTGATGTCTGAAAATAATTAAATGATAAGATTAATTTAATTACGCTTTGAAATCGCTCGTAGCTCACTAAAGCCTTTAATTGAACGTTAACAAAAAGTGCTGTAATGGTCAGCGACATCAGACTGATTGAGGACCAGCATTAAATCAAGGGTTGACATCAAACTGGTGTAAGACAGATAGAAAAGTGCACTGAAAAATAATAGTCATCACAATACTATAAATTACATAAATGTTTAAAGTTTATTTATGTGCATAAATTCAAAAATTTGTATATTGTTTTAGAAAAGAAATTAATATAATGGAATAGAATGTATTACATTACAAGGGCATATAATAGAATGGAATACTTGTACAATGTAATGGGACAGAATACATAATAATATCGTTAGTCTTAATGCAAAACGCCTTCCACTCGAAACAGAATGAAATGGAATATATTAGAATGGAATATAATAGAATGGAACAAAACCGAATATAATAAAATGGAATATAGTAGATTGAAATATAATATAATGGAATATAATAGAATAGAATATAATATAATGCATTTCAATAGAATTAATGGAATATATTAGAATGGAATATAATAGAATGGAATAGAATAGAACGACGAAGAACAGAATATCATGGTATTCACCATCATTGTCTTTAATGCAAATGTGTTCTCTACTCGACCTTAGACATCATCAATTCCTATAAACTGGAAATACAGAATATGAAAGTCAAACTACGAACATCTCTTCTCTATCTCTTATTGTATAGGAATGCTGGAATAACAGCAAAATTTTTACCTTATGTTGATGAATACTTTCATTAATTAAGTTCAGGACAAACCCATTCACAAGCTCGCTTTGTTTTTTGAATAAAACATAATCGCCTGATAAACTTGAACAGGTGAAGTGTGTTTAGCCGGTTTGGGCCTTAAACTGGTCAATTATTTGTCGAAGGGGCATCAGTTGATATTTGCTGACAAGTCTCGTCTCGACTAAGCATTAGTTAGCTGACATAAATTCTGAGATTTAGCAATCTACATTTCTATCATAAATTCGAGTTGAAACAAATGAATTGTTGGCCACACTATTGTCTTTTATGAGCAGCAATGTGTTATGATTGTTGCATATTATTGCGTGGAACATGTTTATTTGCCATTTTATTTATAGTTTGACTTAACTCTTTTGATATTAGCTCTATGCTTAATACGAGTTTTGTTCGACTTATGGGCCCGGCAGAGTGAAAGTTGATTGCTTTGTGACAACAACTTGAATGATCGAAGATGGTTTATGTTTATATGGCACATAACACTTACGAACAGCCGGTTTATCTTTCCTTCTTTAATGCTGCATTGCATCTTCGGCTTGAGGTTAAACAACAAAATAAAAAAAAGCATTGCATTGATTAATGAGCTCAGTTAACGGCTTGGTGTGACTTCGTGTGGTGTTTGTGTTGAGGTGGTGCTGGCAAGAGAACAAGATAAATAAATTAATGCTTATAAATTATAAAACATTTTTCAAGTCTGTAGTTGTCCGACACAGCCTTGCCATGATTTGTGTGCTTAAAACTTAAACCGTTATGTGAAGTCAAAAAACTTAAAAAACAAGACTATTCGTACTTACGAGCATGCAAATTTTTTAGCAAAAATCAATTCTCAACGAGTTACTAATTAATATCAATTATAATTTATTTGCACATAAACCGAAAAGACACTCACAAGCAAGTGCCCTCCGGTTGCTTTACTAATTACGTAGAAAATCAATTTGGAACGATGTTTGTTTTTGTTACCCTATGCAACAAAAATTACCCTTTCTTTTGGCATAAAATGTTTTTTCCGAAAAGTGTTGCAGGTAATGGAAGCAGCAAGAGACGAAAAGAAGTAGAACAAGCACAAAAAAAGTTTTTTTTTCTTCCCTTTTGTAACATAAAGAGGGATCCTTTTTTTTTGATAAAGAATCATATTGAATGTGTCTGTGAAAATCTGGAAAAAAAATTGAACCAGAACGAGGTAGAACGACGTGGAACTACCACAGAAAATGTATTTGGCTTATAATGCGCTTCATTGATGTTTTTCAGGAGAAATTTAAATCCCCAATCGTCTGTTAAACCTTTTAATAATATAATAATATAAAATGTTTATAATTTGTAAGGCAATGTAGATAGCGCAAGCTATTCGCTGTAAGGAGTTTTTTGTACTTTTTTAAGAGAAATCGGGAAAGGAAAGGATAACAACTTTGAAATGTTCTGAAGACTTCATTTCCTCCAATCTAAGCAAGAGATGTTATTTTATAAATAAATAAATAACCAATTAAACGATTATTTTTATTAATTATTTATATTATCTTTAGACAAATATATGTCATAAAGACAAATATTGTTTAATTTATTTAAACTTAAAGAAATCATAAAACAATACAACATTTTGTTAGACAGTGTTATTGTTGCCATGCCATTAGCTTGGCCCGAGCCATAAAGTACAATAAAAACAAAGGCGTGCGGCTGTGCAAATAGAAAAAACAAAAACAAAAATAATAAAAGCGCTCATTAAAATAAATTGCATTTAGCAGTCGCAAATAAAAAGTAAGAAATTTAAAATTAAATTTAAGCTCAGCTCGGCTTAAAATTGAATGATAACCGCAGTAGCTGAGCACGCAATTAATCAATAGCCGAAAGCCGATTTCGAGTTCAGTGAATTCTTCGCTGATTAGGTCGATTATTTTACACCTGGTTGGCTGCTTAATGCAAAATCGATGAGGAAGTTTTGCTTTAGAACGCGAATGGGTGAACGGTGAACAGTCTTTGTAATTAGGAAGTGCCAAAGAAAGTGCTCAGAGAATTAAATTGATGAACAATTATTATTTGTCACACTTAAACCTTTGTCTCTGTCCTTTCAGGATGTCTGCCTCAGCTGTTTTGGGTCTGCTGTTGGTGCTTGGAGCGCTCTGCCTGTGCCGTGCCGAGCTGTACACGGCCCTGGCCGAGATGGAGGAACTACTTGAGACTGAATCCGTATTAATAAGCAATCTAGAGGGCTATATTCGTGTGCAGGAAGATAAGCTGGCCTATTTAAAAAAGTGAGTACAAATATTTATTTTCAAAATGTTTTAAATGTAATGCTAACAAAGGTGAAGAGAAGTGTGTGTTAATATTTATAAGATTTGTCATTTCTATTTATAAATTATTATTTATTTATAAATATTTTGTCTCATGTGGATGCATTTTTCATCAGCACTGTTTACGCTTTTTGGAAATACTTTTCTTAGTCAGTGCTGCTGGAAACTACCTGGAGGCAGAACTATTGGAGTTTATAATGCCTCTTATGGCAGGTTTAGGACTTTTTCGTTTTTATTTTCCTATTAATTCGTCTTTTTTCTGATCGTTAAGAGCTTTGATTAAATGTTATGCTATCTATTTTTATTTGACATCAGTGGTTTTTTCGTTATACTTATAAGCAGAATATTTAAAGAGGCAGTTGAATATATTTTTATTAAATTTAGCTAAAAAGAGCTATTTCTTTGAAATTAACTGGAAACTTATTTTAGGTAAACAAAGTTAAAATTTTTAACAATAAATAAACAAAAACACAAAGAAAGTTTCTCTAATCAACTATTCTTTTGATTATCCTCAATATACTTGCATACTTCGCTTGCTGATCTAATCAGCTGATCAGGTCTAGCTTCTAAATATGTTGCAGCTACTTAATTAAAAAAAAGAGATTCCACTCCACTGAATACTTTATATTTGTCAACTTAAGCCCAATATATTCAAATGCATAGTATAAAATCAACTTTATTTAAAACTTTCATTCAGCCGGTTTAGTGTAATCGATCGAGAAATTTTGTTATTTTTTGCTACAAATTCTATTAAAGTTATAATAAATTATATTTGGAAAAGGTTAGGAAATTGATTTTAAGTAACATATTTAGAGACTAGATAAAGCCATTTAGTATAACTACTTAAAACCATATTTCCGTCATTTGACTTGCATAGAATTGTAACCAAATTTAGAGCACAAAACTATTGTTTATTGTTTAATGTGCATGCAAATGTAATTAATTAATTGAAATTGTTGTAGAGATTAATCTACGAGCACAAGATTTGTATAATGCCAGCATATAATCTGAAGTTGCGTCAAAATCGGCTGACTATGCTAAGTATAAAGCTGCCGGAGAAACTATTGCTGCAACAAAGTATGTTTAGTTTAGTGTTGTTGGGTGCAGGGTTCTTAAGAGTCAGGCTGGCATGACTTTATTGTTCTTGAGGCTTGTTTGCAAAAGAAGTTACCTGCTTCTAGATTCAAAAGTACTTTTTTTATCTATAATAAAATAAAATTTATTGATATCTAATCTGCCTATTACTGAGTGTGCTGAGGATCATATTTCATCCTCTGAGAATAATTCTTCAATGAAGTTTCCCAATCTTGCCATGGAAGACTTTCTTCTTAGTTTTTAGGGGAAAACATTGGGCATGAGTTTCGGTATCTACGTTTAATTTTTTCCTAAACCAGTTGAATTGCAGTGAAAAAAATAAAAGGTTTTTTAACACCTCACACTCCGCTGACATACCAAGAAAATATACATATATTCTACTAATTGGAGTAATAAATAATAACAGCATTTTTTGGATTTTCATTTCCTCAGCCAGTTTTAAGCTTAAGCCTTTGGCGCTTAAAGCGCTAAAGCGTATTAACACTCTTAATACTGCGACAGCTGACAAATGATGAGCGTTTAATCAAACGTTTATCTGAACATTTGTCTATTTGTTGATTCATTTTGCATAAATTTCGAGAAGGTTTTAATGCAAATGCGTCGCAATTAAGGCTCACAGCTGATGCCATGAGTGGGGCGGATGTCGCTCAGGTAGCGCCAAGTGGTAATTACTAAGACATTGTTGTAGTTGTAATTGTTGTTGTTGTTGTTGTTGCCACTATGTTTTGCCACGTGCGCGTCCCCTGGCAGCTGTGCAACGCAAAGATACATCTAGAGATACAAAGCAACCTATTTACAGATATATAAACACTATTTACACTACATATCAGTCGATGTACACATACAAGTATGTATAAAACTTTCCCCTGCCATGTGCCTATGTATTTACCTGTATATTTGAAGATATAGGCTGCTTATTTACCTTCTGCTGCTGCTCCTGCTCCTGCACATCCATGCACACAGGATATGGAAACTCGACGGATGCGGTAAGGCAACTCCCCTAATCAAATAATGCGACAGACAAGCAGGGGAGAACGAGAGAGCGAGCAAGGCAGTAGAGACGGGAGAGTCCGCAGAGACAGGACAGACAGGATCTAAGTGCCGCTCCTGCTTCTGCTACGTTGCCAGTCTTGCCAGTGTCATAACAAAAGGCAGTCAGCGCCAGACAAGATCTTCACAACAGCTGACAGCTGTTTCGCCTGCAACAACAACAACAACAACCAGAACCACAACAACAAGAACTCCAACAATAATACCAACTTTGTTATCCTTGTGCGCTGTCATTGCACTGCCAGGCAACGCAGGCTGTCCTGCTGGTTCTGCCACATCCACATTTTATGCCCTTTGTTTTCGCATGTGGCGCGTGCCGCTCTTCTCGCTGCCTGCTATCCTTAATTGAACCTTATCATACATTTTTCGCATTAAAACAAAGCATCGTCCTAGTAGCTACACTTCAGATTTTCATTCGACATTATATTATATCCACTATGCTGACCATCAGCTGCCGTCAACTTTTCTGCGCTTCATTTCCCATTTGCAGAAGTTCTGTTGAGTTGAAAACAAAAACTACACCGCAGTTGAGGAATTTCGAAAATTAAACCCACGCGATCCAAACACTCGTAAAACTCAAATTGATCTTTGAATTAAATAAGCTAATATTTGGTTGAAAATAGGTTTTCTCACTATCTGCGTTATTTGCGCCTATCGTTCCTATCTATATCCTATATGAAAATACCTAATTTTCTTAAGACATCTTCATAAGCAATGAAGTTAAGCTACAAAGGGAGAGAGAGAAAGAGAGTAATTTTTTCACTGATCGGCCCCATGACAGGTATACAAATAATGATGATATATACCAACAATAGTCCGGCTTCTGTTTTGACTTTCCATCAAAATATCGAAAATCGAATTAAATCGATTTTAAAAGTTGTAACTTTGCTTCTGTGGAATTTAAAGTCTTTCAAAATTTGCTCATAATTAGATGCATTTTTCACCACGTTTATTTCAATGTTTAATATATTTTAAAGCGTACATTTTATTGTTAAACAATCTATGCAAAGTTTTCACTTCTATGCTGCACTAATTAAAAAGACAGCACAACTGATAGAATTTAAGCCGAGCTGTTATCAATTCCGCTCAACAGCGATACTAATTACTATTATATTTACATACTAATTACTTTAATATTTTCTTCAGCAATATTTTCTTCGGAATTAATATAAAAGCAATTCTAAATTAATTTAATTTAGAATATTTGACTTTCCAATTTAAAAGTATTAATACTTGAAAAGCTATTATGAAAAAAGAAATTCTAATTCAACTTCGGAAGCGAAAACGTTTACAATTCAAATGAGAATAAAGTGACATCAATCGAATTATTTAATGACAAGCGTACTAATTTAAAAGTAACCCGTAATAATATTTGTAAAGCTATTATAGAGATTTCTAATTAATAAAAGCATAAATAAATTGAAATAAAGTCAACTCAAAATTGCAATAATTTTATAAAATCGAAAAGAGGCCTAATAGTTTGTAATAATGGTTAAGTGAAGTCTACAGGCCACTGATCGAAGCTCTCACAATCGAACTAATGAGCGACTCATTCCATTAAAGTCACCAAGGCTATATAGATATAGATATTACAATTCTCCCTACATACCCTTCTGGAATAGAGTATAAAAACGAATCGCTTCGAGCTGTAATAAATGGCTTCCAATTAGTCAGCCCTCCACTGGGGGTGCTCTTAAACTTCAGATTAAATGCAGCGAACTGGCAGCTAATGAGCATTTGAATGAAAGAACAGAGCCGAGTTAAGGATGAGAGTGCATTATAGTATGTCCCGGACCAATTTAACTTGTGCATTGTCCATGTTGGCCCAAGTCGACTGGCAACCCATGACCTACATATAAAGTGCCAACTAAAATTTTCATTATGATGCCCACATGATTCTGCGGCATATACTTGTATATACTTATACTATATGTATGTATATGTGTGTGTAGATATGATGGGTTATGTAGTACTTGTGGGAGATGGCGATGCACAAGTTATAAAAAATGTGTGGGCTTCGCCGCACATTGTCGGTTAGTTGAAGAAATTTATTAGTTGCTCTCGCTATTATTTATTAATAATTCAGGCTGCATTTCACAGTTCCCCCGCATTCTAAATAATACATTTTTTGCGCTTGCATTGAAATTTCATTGTAATTTAGAAAATATCTGCCATTGCATACACTTTGTTGCTTTGAAGTTAATTTGCAAAATATTTCAATTCCTGTCGATTGAAATCTTTAAAGCTAGATAGATCAGATCATTTTTAAAGCATCAATGAGGCTTTTGAATCATTGCATTAAAGCATTACTTTAGAGTCAGCTCATTTACAACATAATATAACCATTACTACAATCGATATTGGAATATGATTCCAGTTCATCGTCTATGTAAACATTTATTTTCATTAACTCTTCTAATTTTCAAAAAGATTTAAAAAAAACAAAAGCTCTTTCATTTGTTTATTATTATGGAAAACAAGTGGTTATTTAACTGTTGTAAAAAAAGAAAAAAAATTAATCGTTGGAAATATGCTATGATCAGACAGGCAACAAATTAGCACATAAATCCTAGTTTCTTAAGCTTTTATAGCAGAATATAAATTGTGGAGCGCCAAATTTTAGCCAAATCCTGTTAAGTTGCATATATCCTTCTTCAAGTTAACAGCTTACTGAAATATAGAGCTGGGCAGTAAAGTCTTTGGTTTCTGTTTCAGTTCTAATATTGTTTTTGTTTATTGTTCCTTTCCTTTTTATAGTATTTATTATAATATTTTTATAGTATTTTATAGTATTTATAGAACATTAATCACACAGAAAGATCTTCGTTAAGTAATTGATTCATTTGAGCTCTCAATTCCACTCACATGCACCTCAATTTTTGAACGACCCATTGCAGCATATTCGTGCTGAATTGCAATATTGTCCTTGTCCTTTAAGTGCAACGCCCACAGACACACACACACACACACAGCCGCCCACTCACCAACGAAATTTGATTTGATGTCCTTTTTCCAACTGTCAGCAGGAAAAGCAATTAAAGCCACAGACAAGGCAATGTTTGTGAAACGAATCGAATGGCAAAAAGAAAAGTTCATAAATATGCAGGCCAAACAGCAGCGGGTGGGGGGTCGGTGTCGGTCGGACCTTACACCTACACATACGCACACACACACACTCACACACGCACACATAGATATGTACACTGTGCGGGCCGCTTGACTCTCTGCCTCTCGATAAGCCGCCACATGGGTTGTTTGTCAGGCTCTATGAGCAAACAGACAGACAAAAGCCTGTAAGACAACCTAGAAATGTAACGGTCGCTTTTGCACTCAGGGGAGTTTCATATACATGTACAAGTATATATATAGTCAACCTTTATATATGCACATGTTATATGTGTATGTGTGTGTGGCTCTATTTAGCTGTTATGAGTTGGTAAATAAAAATTAAAAATGCTGATAAAGCAGGGGCAGCGAACGTTGACAGAGTTATTTCTGTTTTTGGGCCGGCTGCGTTTGCGCCGTGCCACGAAATTTTTATTTCAACCCCCATGCACAGAAGTAATGTGTATTGAGTGCTACACTGAGAGAATAAACTGAAGCACGATCGCACACTGTTTTCTTCATATTTATCAGCGCTTCTTCTAAGGTTCACTGTCTTGATTATGGGGAAGAATTTATCAAACTTGTTGAAAACAGAATTCGAAAACCTAAACATATCTTACTAAATTATACTTTTGTATTTAATTACCAATTTCCAAATTAATTACCATAATTTTCGTTGAAATGAACGTATAGTAGATACGTTCAAATATTTAGGCCGAATCAGAATAGTTTCGCAGGCTAAAGAATAAGTCAAATAGGTTAACAAAATTGTTCATAATTGTATATTTTTAGAGATTATTTAAGATACAATTCTAATTGAATTCAACAATTCTAATCTTAAATAGATATGTCTTAAATATTCTCGCTTGTTTTTAGAAGAATTCTATATAAATGTAGAATTTTATTTTAACACAAATTTACAATTAAAAAAAATGTAGAAGTCAACGTAGATAAACTTATATACTATAAGTACTTCAAATCTGTCTATGATAATAGATCATAGAAGAAAATTGAAGTTTTTTATATTTATGATAGAATTCTTGGTCATATTTATAGAATTTTCTTAATTTTAAAAGGAAGTAAAAACGATATTTTTTCAGATGAGAGCTGGAATAAAATATATTTTAAAATTTTTTGATTGGTTTTGAATAAATTTATTGTTTTGCCCGCCATATAACAAAACTATAATAGTGCTCTAAAGCAATATTTTTCACTGACAATTATGGTATAGTTGTAGTTCCAGAAACAAAGTTATGTTTTATTTTTGACATCTTTGTTGATGAATGACTAAATTTTAGACTATAGTTGTTTAGAATGCCTGCAAGAAGTCATGCATTTCTTTGCCTACGTTACATTTTTTGTTTTGAAAGTGTACTCCTCTTTTCTGTGAGTGTGCGGCCAGTGGCTGTGGCAGCAGCAGGAGCAGATGTTTGCAGCTAAAAACGGAACGCGCCAAAGCGCCGCTGCTGTTGCCGCTTCTGCCGGTGTGTGTGCGACTGCCTTTGCATTACGTTACGGGTGTCTTAAGCACAATTATTATATACATACACATACATAGTATGTGTGTGTGTGTGTGTGTAGTAAATAGTTAGAGGGGAGAAATGCCGCACGCGCGGCTACACTCGACTGACTGCGTCGGCAGAGGAAGTGAATAAAGGAACTAAGTCGAAGTGCGACTTTGAGCCGCAGAGCAAGTTCAGTTGAGTTGCAGTTGCCGCGTCGAGCAGATCGTACGGAAATAATCAAACTATATATATATTAGAGTGCAAGCAACTTTGCATAGACTGTACAGTGATCAGTGATCAGAATTGGAGACATAATATGTCCAAGCACAATTATACGAACCCGGCGTTCTGTCAGAACAGCGAGTTCTATCCGGTACCGTCGGCGGCGGGTCAGCAACAAAGCCAACAGCATGTGGAGTCCATTTATAATCGCAGTTTGCAGCTGAATTTTAATGGACAGACTGCAGCAGCAAACCGTAATCCGCGTGAGGGTCCGCTGCGCATGCAACGCAGCATGTCGACGCGTTCCTTCAATGCGCCCCAAGCAGCGCGCAAGCGCCCACAACATCAGCAGCAACAACAACCACAGAAGCAACATCAGCAGCAGGCACAGACATCAAGTGGTCGCTATGCGCTTGTGCCGCTGGAGGATTTGGCCAGTCAGGGCACTCTTAGCAATCGCTATGCCATAGTGCCCGGCGGAGCAGCCTTGGCTGCGGCCAAACGTTATGCCAAGTCGCAGGATAATTTGGATCGTTATGCCTCGCAACAGAACCTGCCCTACGATGAGGAGCCGCACTCTTTTCACGAAGTGCCCCAGCAGCCACAAAAGCAGCGCTACATGGCGCAGGAGGAGGAGGAGGAGGAGGAGGTGGATGAGTTGCAGTTCACCAGCCTGCCGCCGCAGCTAAATGTACAGAAGGCAGCGCCGAAGATTAAACACGCCTTCTCCAGCGATTTCGGCAGCAAGACATTCCTCATTGTGGACAAGAATAGCAATCAGCGCTATCAAATGGTGCCCACAGCCGAGAATGAAGAGCTGGTCGATGAGAATCAGGAGATCATTCAAATGCATAATGGACGAGCGCACCGTTATGCCGTAATCCCCACCGAGGGCGATGATGACGATGACGCCGACGATGACTTCGAGCCACAACAGGAGACCTGTCTGAGCCACACGGAGCTCAACCAGAGCCAGCATTTTAGCCAGCTGCGCACTTCGATGCGCACCTCAACACCACAGCAGGGCAATTCTCTGCTGCAGCTGCCCACGCAGTCGCAGACGCCGTTGAAAAACGCTGCGGCAGCCACCAGAGCGTTGCACGAACTGCTTGCCACGCCACGCAAAATGCAACCACCACCGCGTGCCGCTCTCTCCACACCCCGCAATGCCGCTCACCACGAGCAGCTGCAGCGCGAGCGTCGCCTGCAATTCTATCAGAGTCAGCAGCACATTAATTACGTGGCGAGTGTGGCGCCGGCGATGATGCCCGCTTTGCCCCAACGGCAGGCCAAGCTCTCGCCCCAGCGGCTGCACTACGAAACCGTTAGACCCGCACCCCCACCCCCAACCACAGCCCCAGCAATGGTCACAACCACAGCCCTAGCCGCACAACAAACAGACCGCACGATGGCCGTGATTAGTCCTCGTGTGGCTGGCGCCAAGTTGCAACCGCATCAGGAACTGGAACAGGACTGCAGTTTTCAGGGCAAATCATACAGCAACAAGAGCTACAACCACAACAACAACAACAACTCATATCCACAGAAACTGGCAAACGCCACTGTTACACTCGCTGTGGTCTCCCTGATGCTTGTCCTCGGCAGCACCATGAATGCCGGACTCATCATCTACATGATCGCACACGTAAGTAGCTAAAAAGCCATTAACTATTGCGGTAAATATGCCAGATTTCTTGTCACAATTGATAATTGGTAGGAAGTTTATTTCAATATCTGATCAAATAACAACACAATAGAAGTTCATGAACATAATTGTTTCAGCATAAGGACCCCTTAACTTTTGAAAGGTGTACGCCAATACTTTTCGATAAACCCACTTCTTTGATCAAAATCTAGTCAAACAGTTAGAATTCTAGTAGAATATAAGACATACTTGTAAATGGTAAAATTTTAAATTATTGCTCTAAAAAAGCGTAAAGGCCTTAAAAAATGTTCTTAACATACATAAGTATACTCGTATACACTAGTACTGTAGAGTTAAAAAAGAAAGGGTACAGAAAACAAAGGTATACTCGTACACACTAGTACTATAGAGATACAAAGAAAGGGTACAGAAGACATATGTATACTCTTACACACTAGTACTATAGAGATACAAAGATTCTTTTTTTATATAAGATTCAAGTAATAATCCAGGTATAACGTAAATATTTCATTTTCTTTAAAAACGAAATCAGAAAATAATAGGCTCAGTAGCTTCTTTTCATTTAGTATTATTTTTCTGGTAGAAAGATAGATATTTCTTCGATATATAAAATTAAATTAAAATTCTCTATTATTCCAATTCTTGTCAACAAATCTGGCAATGTACAAACCAATTTATAGACTCAACTTGTTAATTTCTTGTTCACTCTTTCCCCAACCACAGTTTGGAAAGTCCTTTTTTCTGCAGTTCGGTCTAGTGGCCTCCTTTTGTGGCATGGGACTGGGCTTTTTGGGATTCCGTTCACGGCAATGCGATTGGCTGCCCAATCGGAGCTACACCTCCGGCTACATACTGGTGACCATATTCTGCCTGTTAAAGTGCTGTGGCCTGCTGGTTATACTGGTGCTGGATCCCTTTCCCGGTCTGCCACTGCACGATGTCACCACAGGTGTTATCCTTGGGCTGTCCACCTTCACGATGTTCTTCATTGGACTGGGCGTCATCGGCAGCTTGTGGTGCTATCGACCGCCACCGGACAATCGCGTGAACGTCGTCTAATTGTTATTCCTAGTTATAGCTTATTTTTAGTGCTTAATTAGTTTTTAGCTGGCGAGCGGAAATATGCAACGAGCTAAGCGAACAACACACGGCTAAAAGACCAAAAACAAACAAAATAAAAACAAAAAACGAACACAACGTATTTCTAATTAGAAGTGTTCCAAAAGAGAATTCTTGCTGGAAAAAGAAGACTGTAAATAGCAAAATGCAAATAGGTTTAAAAATTAATACATAAGTCTAGGCTACACTAGATGGTATAAGTATTTTTACAAAAGTAATCTAATTTAGTTATAATATTATGATTTTTGAGAGATTGCGTAAAAATGTAAGTTCATTTTTCTTTGTTTTCTAATTAATATTTTTATGTATGTTTCTTTATTTTTACATTTTTGAAATTATATATCTTATTCCACCGCAGTACTACTGTTTCAAAACAAATAATAATGCATTTTGCATAAGGCGTTTCAAATTAATTTCGTTACATTGTAAAATGATAAATGGATAAATAATTAACAATAAATAAATAATAACATTTCAATCTGTTTTTCGTTGAAAGCTACAAAAAGAAAATGATTTCTGATTTTTGCTCAATATTAATAAATTTTACGTTGGAAATTTTAATAAATAATAATAATGAATATTCCTTAAAAACTGAATCCTTTTAGAACTTTTATTCAAAATTAACAATGTTGTGATAAAAATAACGTACAAATGTAATTACAATCCAATTGGAAAAATACATTAGTAATGATTCAAATATTAGTAACATTCGTAATTATTGTGTTCTTACGTGTATTTTAAAATGTTTAAATGTTTGAAATCATTGCAGAAATATTTAAAAAAATTTCTATGCTGCAAAAAGAATAACTTTAAAAGGAAACTATGAGAAGTCTAATAATTAGTTTAAAAGGAAACTATGAGAAGTCTAATAATTAATTTAAAAGGTCCAATTGGGGTTTTTCAAAAAATTAATTTATTTGAAAGCAAGATGGTTGCAAAATACAACAATGAACTAAAAACTTGAGTCCACTTCTACATTTTCATATTGCAGTAAAATATTAGAGACAACTAAATATCTTCAGCAGTTGCATATCTGCTCACATTTCAAACTAACAGCTTAAAGCTAAATATGTACATAATATATAATACAATATATATATATTACTGCTTCTGTTCTTATCTATGCCATTTAGTGCATTTATGCATAAGTGTGCGACACTTAAGCTAAGATAAATACTTAAAAAGAAACATGAAAATAAAGACACGAACCGAGCACTCTCCTGTGTGTGTTGTTTTAAAACTATTCTTGCTAAACTATTTGAAGTTGTCCCAACTACGAAGTACACTTATCTGACTAAACTCAATATGCAAACACTTGTTCGTCTTATCTCTTCCCCTCCCTCCGGCACACAGCAAAATGGATGAATACCAAAGAGAGCATGCCGATGCGGCCAGCGACATCACCGCCTACGTATCCAATCCCATTAATGCCTACTTGCTGACCAAACGACTGACCACCGATTGGCGGCAGGTGGAGAATCTCATGGAGCACGATGTGGGCACAGGTAAGTGTCGATGTGTGTGTGTGTGTGTGCAACATGAATCAGGCTAATGGCCCGTATATTGCGCAGACTTTTTGCAGAACCTGACGCAATACCGGAACGTGTTGAAGTTTCCCTCCGACGAGGATTTAAATGGCGCGGCTGTGGCGCTCTTGCGCCTGCAGGACACTTACCAGCTCGAAACAGCGAGTGTGGCACGCGGACAGCTCAATGGTATCCAGTACAGGTATGCTAATTGATATTGTTCATGGAAATTACAGCACGGGCTGTAATGCATTTTCCGACTTGCAGCACGGCCATGTCCTCGGACGACTGCTTTGAACTGGGCCGACAATCGTATGTGAATCGAGACTATTACCATACCGTTCTTTGGATGAACGAGGCCATGGAACGCATGTTGGAGGAGGCACACAATCAGACACAGAGCTTCACTCGGGCCGAGGTGCTCGAGTATTTGGCCTTCTCCACCTACAAACAGGGTGAGTTGCAACAACAAAAGCATCAGCGCACAAAAAAAAACCCAACTCCAATTCTATGCAAAAGTTTCTGAAGGGCCATTTTGTTTCTCAGCTGCATGTTCTTTTGGGTTGTCAGGAAAAAGTTTGCGTTTATTTCAGTTTTTAATTCAATTACGTTGGCTATTTAAATATTCTTGATGACTGTGGCCATCAGCATAGCTAGAGGGTATTCAGAATATAGTCTCTTTTGTTTCGTCTTCTTTTGATGTCAAAATGAAAAAGTTTATTAGAAATTTCAAAAATGTTACAAGCTTTTTAAAGTATTAAGTTATATGTCCGTCACTTACTCCTTCTTTGCAGAATTTTTAACTTTATTCATGTTTTTTCTCTACAAAATTAAAGCAAGAGCGTTGCAGAAAGTTGTTTAAGCAATAGGTAAACATACTTGTAGTTCTCCGATTTTCAGATTGTCTTGAGCTGAACTTTATACATACATTACTAAAAACTCTAGATATTTCGTGTTGAATGGTTTGGGAAATCTCTGCAAAAATCCGTCAGATGCTACAGAACATAGAGGGTTTACACTTTTCGCACTTCCCCGCCAAGTCAGCAACAGCGGACTAACGACCCATTAGTCCAACAGACTCGACAGAGTTGCGAACTGTCTGTCTGTTTCGTATTTTCATATTTTCTTGGTTTTGCATTTTTAGTAAATAAGTTACATAACTTATTTGAAACAACATTTGCGTCAACTCATTTTTTAAATTTTTAACACCCGTTTGACTCATAAACTTAGATTTAACTCAGCAAAATGTGATATTCGACAAATGCAACTTTAAATTTGACCCTAATGGGCATTTCTATTGTTTTGTTGTTTTTGATAATGTGTGTGTATACTTGTGTTTTAACAATAAATTAAATTTAAAATTAATAATATACACATGAGAAATGTAAAATATATTTGATGCAGAATATTGAGAAAAACTATAAGGTTTATATTCCAATGGTTGTTTTTAAGTGGTAAAATATCTATCTTAGTGTTTTTAATCAAATATCTTGATATCTAATATCAAATTTTTGTGGAAAAGATAATTAATTTTCGGACCAAATATTGGGAGAAACCGATTTCATAATCAGAATTAATGAGACATTTTTAAACTCTCCACTGTTCCTAGTATTAAATTAAAATTTTATAGTTTGCGTAATGGTATCAGCTGTTTTGATTTGTTTGCCTTCTCTGACATGTTTAATTAATTCATTAAATTAAATTAATTTAATTTATTATTATTGAAGAAATCGAGATTTGTCTGTGTTCCTACTATACATAAGATATAAAGATGTTAAAATATCAAAAACACAAAAAAAAAGAATGCCTACATTTTGAAAACATGTTTTTTCAGACATGTTGATGGAATTGCCTTCTAATTTTTTTAGCAGGCTATAATTTAATATCTGTTAAATCCTGCAGTTATTCTATAGTCTATACTGCAAACACTTCAAATTCTAAGCAAAAACTGGCAATAATTTCTTGTACAACCCCATGAATGTACCTAGCTCGGAGCTCTTGCCGTTGAATTTTCCTGCCATTTTCCTGCACTTTTGCATTCTCACAAGTTAACAACAACTTGTTGTTATGGGTGGTGCTGCTCGTTTATGTCTGAGCTGCAGTTAAGTAGAGTTGACTTTGTTGTCATGGTCGTCACACTAGCTGGGCATTTGGTTCCTGGAAATTGCTTTTAGCCTTTGTTCTGCTGTTCTCCTGTGCACTTGCAAGTAAAGGCGCTTAGTGTTAAGTGCGAAATATGTTGCCCGGTGTTGTGCTTTAACGCCTCACTGACTCACAGTCACGTACCTTTAAGGGCAGCTTGGCTGCATGAGGCCACAGTCACAGTCACAGCCACAGTCACGAACAAATTTGCCATCGTTCCCAGTGAGGTTTATTAATGTCCTACATTGCGTGGGCAGTAACTCAGACCCCGACCTACTCGTATACGGTGGGATATGTTGGAGCTTAACGTGCCAGTAGCGTTTCGTAGACACCCATAAAAAGTTTGCATTTCTCCTTCGCGCGCTGCCAAAAGAGCCAAAGAGTTGCCAGCACATGTTTAACAGCATGTTTTGCCACTTTTTGCGCTTGTTACCGACCCCAGCCTGCCTTGTCGTGACAGGCAGCCAAGTCTAATGGGGGCAAGCGGAAATACCGCCATATTGCGCTAAGGTTGCCAGCAACAGCACAAATGTGGCCCGGGGCAGACATTTCGTCTATTCGCCGGTACACGCACATGTGTTTGAAAACTGCTATTGGCATTAAAGGACGAATTTAAGACCAGTACTCGTATATAACGAAGGTCACATTCAATGCAAAATATTTGCTTAAAACAGCCACATAAATTCAAGTTGAATGAAGGGCACGAAGATGCAACAATTTAAATTGACAAATTATAAAGTTGAAGTTGCAAATATATAGCTGGGACTAGCTCAGGGGGCTCAATATGAATGAATAAATATGTATATACAAATATATTTTATATGAGTAAGACAAGGCCCAAAGGTCCGGGCCGCCAACTTTGTCGGCTACAAAAGTTTCCACAGAAAATAAACAAAAACACAGGCAAGACATTTATAGAAGTTGTTGGCAAAAAGGGCAAGAAAATATATTGCGGTTTCCCTTTTCTCCTTTTTCTTTTTTTGCAACAAGTTTCAAGCGAGAAATTCACTTACAATTTGCAGCTAGCGCTTGATCCCTGCCAGCATAGCGCAGAGAATTTTCTAGACTCTGGACAATGCCTGTCCGCTCCTATTATGCTCAACAAAAATAAAAAGCTGCCTTAAAAGAGTTCATTATTTCTTGTTTATTGCGACGTTATCTCTTATACATACTCATTATAATGGCAATTTTCGTAATTGGACATATTTATTTTTATATTTGATATCAAATAAAAATGAAGCTGCAACAAAACGTTTGCAGCTTCAAACGAATATAATAAGTTGTAGAACCTATGAATAGTCGTTTCTCTTCCGTAAGCCGTTGCCCTTTTTAAAGCATTTCATAAGTTAGCTAAAAATGGTTTGCTGGGTTATGGATAGTGCAAGAAAAGTGTAGCATACTTTTGGGCTGTAATTAATTTTCCGCAACCAAAAAAATCACTTGGCCAAGGTTTTACAATTATTTGTGTTTTGTCTGCTTCATCAAAAAAAAAAAAAAAAAAAAATAGGAAATGTGGAAAGCGCGTTGACCATGACAAACGAGCTGCTCCAGCTGCTGCCCAATCATGAGCGTGCGAATGGCAATAAGAAGTTCTACGAGAAGGAAATCGCGCATATGCAGGAGCTGAAGAAAATGAAAGGTGACGATGGCACCGACGAAATACCCGTGTCCGATTTGGTAAGTCAACAAAGACGGTTGTGATATAAGTATAAATCGATTGGTGTCTTGGCAGCCGGTGAATAAAAGAGATCCTGCCGTCTTCGATATGACGGAGCGCAAGGCATACGAAATGCTTTGTAGGGGAGAGTTGAAACCCAAGCCTGCAGATTTGCGACCACTACGCTGTCGCTACGTTAACAACAATGTGCCATTCCTTCGCTTGGGGCCTCTAAAGCTGGAAGAGGCGTATATGGATCCCTATATTGTGATCTATCACGATGCCATGTACGACAGTGAGATCGAGGTGATCAAACGCATGGCTCGTCCGCGTTTCCGACGCGCCACCGTGCAGAATTCTGTGACTGGGGAACTGGAAACGGCCAATTATCGGATCAGTAAGTCGGCGTGGCTAAAGACTGAGGAGCATCGTGTCATTGGCACTGTGGTGCAGCGCACGGCCGATATGACGGGTCTCGACATGGACTCGGCCGAAGAGCTGCAGGTGGTTAACTATGGCATTGGTGGGCACTACGAGCCGCACTTTGATTTTGCGAGGGTAAGTTGCTTGGACTCTGTGGACTCCTAACTAGATTCAAATTTATGTTTTTCCAATTTGCAGCGTGAGGAAAAGCGTGCCTTTGAAGGTCTAAATCTGGGCAATCGCATTGCCACAATGCTATTCTATGTAAGTATAAATAAGTATAGAATTTTATTTGGTTAACTAAATGGCAACTGTTTGTATTTTCCAGATGAGCGATGTAGAGCAGGGCGGTGCGACTGTATTTACCTCGTTACGGGCAGCACTTGTGCCAAAAAAGGGCACGGCAGGTAATGATGATAATATAAATTCGGAGTTTAGGAAAAAGCAATAAAATCTTATACTTGCAGCTTTCTGGATGAACCTGCATCGCTCGGGTGAGGGCGATTTGCGAACACGACATGCGGCATGTCCCGTACTCACTGGCAGCAAGTGGGGTAGGTCCTAACGATAACTAAACAACGAGTTGTTTGCTTAACAAACCTTATATCCTTGCAGTTTCGAACAAGTGGATACACGAGCGTGGCCAGGAATTCAGAAGGCCCTGCGGCCTGCAAGCAGATCATGGCGATTTTGCCATCTAAGTAGTGCAATCGAACAAAGAATTTAATTGAATCTTTGACTAATTTTAAGAAAATATGGAAATTATTTGATTAAACTACCCTAAGCTTTTCATTTAGATGCGAGCGCTGTAAATCATGCTCCACATAGCTGCCAGCTGCCTTATGTGCTTACTTACTCATACATATACAGAACTATGTACTTTAGTTGTGCCTCCTCCAAGCAATCCATTGTATATAAAGCACCAGAAGCTGGCGCGCACATGCAATTATTTCAATTTCTCTCCTCTTCATTCATTTTAATTAAGGACTATTATTTTCGCCTACTGAATTTATCTACTTTTGTATATTTGTAGCTTAAAATAGTAGAAAAGAAATATGACATGGAAAATAAATTAAAATTCAAAAATATCTATCTCTTCACTAGTTTTATTTTACGACATTTTATGGCGAATGTTGCAGAACGAATGGAACATATGGGAAAGTAATTAATAACGCATCAACTGAAAACACTTTTAAACTTTGTATTTAAAACAAAGTATCGTTTTTAGTTCAATGTTTCAGGCAATATTTCAACCTCAACCTGCACGGCCATCAATCAAATGCAGCGAACCGAATTCCCCCACCACGAGTATCGGGTATCATTGCGGTAAGCCGCGCAAATGGACAGATTTGCGCCTGTTTTCCATACACAATATATATGTATATGTGTGTTTGTGTGTATGTGTGTGTGTTTGAAAGTGCAAATATGTACACAGCAGCTTAGCACGCATCACAGGATGTGACATGTTGCATACTTTTCAGCGCGCCGGAAATTCGATTTATGCTGCAAGGTTTCAGGTAAACGAACATCGATTTGTGGGTGGTTGGGCGATGGATGTGTGCAGCTGGACTCAGCCGGTTTATATTTCGTGTATTCCCTGCCAGAATTTACATTGTAATATGCAATAATTAATGAGTCATGAAGCCTAATAATAATAAACAAGCTTAGGCCGCTTTATTGTTTTATTATAAATATAAGTTGAAAAGCTAAAAGGATTGTGAAATTACAGATAAATTGTTGATATTACGAAATAATTGACAAAATGCATTCAAATACAAATTCATTTGCCAACAAAATTCCCAATGCTAAGACGTTTTCCTAAACATTTTTCTTTTATCAGTTCATACACTATTTTAAAGAACATATGGACAACTGAAATTCACTTAATATACGGTTGTTTCTTAAATGGTGAACACACAAGTTATAGAATATATACATACATTGAACAAAGCTAGCGCAACAATTTACTCTTCATATATAGCATGAACTTGTTGATTTTATAGTAGTCTAAAAAATACTGAACTGATACTGAATACGGCTCAGGTGCCTTAATATGGAAACAGCGGTCAAATAAATGAAATAATCAAAGATGTCGAACACGTTCTATGTGACTTTCGATGAGCACTTTTATTTGGTTGTCTTAAACAAGTTCACATATTTTTCGCACTTCTTTATTGCCATCAGATATCGACTACCCTGCTCGAAATTAAACACATTTTTACACGAACGGCAGTTGGCAGTTGAATAAATACATATACTTGTGAATTAAAAGACCACTAAAGAACAAATAAATTAAACGAAAATACTCAAAAAACACACAATAACTATTATATTACTTACAAATATTATATATAGCATATAGTATATTGAAACCAAATCCCAGAAAAGCAGAGTAAAAGGTGCAATAAATTAACCACACTAATATTTATTGAAATGAAATTAAAACGATAAGCTATTTAACATTTTGAACTGAAATATCAATTAATTGAAATAAAGCTTAATGATTTGATGCGAGACTTGCTAAAAAAATTCAAAGGTAGAAAAAATGAAATGAAATGTAATGAATTAAAATGCAAAAGGTGTCAAGTAAATTAGTCAACAAATAATTGTAATGGATCTATATTTGAAGTAAACAGTTCCAAATATTCATATACCTAGGCCGAGTGCAACGACATAGTGTGCTAATATTATTGCGTCCATTTTTTTATGTGGCTGTATAATATTATGTACCTGCGTGCACCTGCATTTACCTGAGTATTTAATTTATTGAATTCTGCTGGCGCATAATTTAACAGCATCCGCGTGCCAGCTGACGCGCAACATGGCATAATGCATTCCGCATTTGTTGAAATAAAAAAATGATACACTTAATGGCTTGTACGTGTACGAGGCTGTGGGTGTATAAGACAGAGGACAGCTGACGTACATAAATTGTATATAGATAGATAGCTGGTTGCCATTGTTTGCCCAGCCACACTTGCCGGCTTGTCTTTCGGTTTGTTTGCACAACTTTTTTTCGGCATACGTGACAATTTAAAATGAAATTGTGTCTTTTTTTCGGGAACTCAGCAGAACAAATAGAAAGACAGACATATGCTGGAGTTGTGGACTAGATTAGAACTGGAGGCGAGACAGTCGTTGTATGAATGGCGCGCTGTAAGCTTCACAAATTTTAAAAAAATATTTCCACTTCATGCCAAAGATGTCACGTCATTGTCAGCGCCTTGCAATATTGGCGCTCATTCTGCTGCTCGGCGTCACTGTGAGGGCCGAGTATTATTCCTCGGTGAGCAGCATGATAGTGTTGGGGGATGTGGAGCTGGAGCTGTTGATGGCCACGCGTGACTTTCTCAAGGCCCAGCAGGAGCAGCTGGAAACATATCGCGAGTAATTGTCTGCTTTTTATACTCGTATATTGATTGCCATTGATGATGGCTTTTTATTTCGCGATTAACAGTTTTATAGTGAACATCAACAACGAACATATTATGGCCTCCGAGGACTTCGATGATTATCTGGGCAACCCGTTGCACGCCTTCAAGCTGTTGAAGCGCATGGTTAAGGACTGGAAGGACTTGTATGAGAATGTTGTTGCTGATAAGCCGCTGGAGGGTAAGTGCAATCGTAGACTAGAATTTTGTATAGTAATCCGTAGGATATACTGGATATGGGAAGAGGACAGGAATGCGGAATTATAAATAGTATTGTTAATTATCCATTCCAATCGTTTGTTTATATGTAGAATCAAATCACTTTCAAATATTTTTCTTATCTCTTAACTCTCTAGAACATAAGTTCAGTACCAACTGAAGCCTAGGACCAAGACATGATTGAACTAATCTGTATTATATTTATTTATATTATAATTAAAAAAAACAGTTTTAAGTAAATTTTGCATTACTTTTTATCCGATTCTAAAGCAGTTTATGATCATTACATGGCTAAATGACTTCTATAGATAATCCTTCTTCTTGTATACCCCTTCTATGACTTCTTCCGGGAAAACTACATAAGGCTTAGCTCTGTAGCTTGGATCTAAGCGTAAAAAAACGTTTAAAGCCTGAAAATGATTTTCTTAAAATATTAACTTTATTCAACTGACTTGCGTATATTCTATTTATTGAAATAAATTGGAGAAATCCTTCATTATTCAACATTTCTTCTTTCAGATTTCCGCAAGAAAATGCTCGAATTGACCGCAGACGACGCCTTTCCAGATCTGGATGAGCTGCGCGGCGCTGTCAAGGGTCTGGCGCGCTTACAACAGGTCTATAATTTGACGGCTTACGACATGGCCGATGGCGTGTTCAATGGGATCTACGAAGGGGCTCAGCTGCAGTGGCACGATTGCTTCGATATTGCCGTGCAGCTGTTCGAACTGAAACAGTATAAGAATGCGATTGAGTGGTTTATGGTGGCTGCCGATTTGCTTCGTCAGCTGGACGAAGATGAGAAGACTAAGCAGAAGCCTTTGGCAGAGATACATGAGTACTTGGCACTGGCTAACTATCAGTTGGGACACTCGGAGCTGGCGCATGAGCTGCTGGATCCAGTAGTGGATTTGGATTCCACTTCTCCAGCTGAGAGCACTCGTGAATATTTGAACTATAATCCACCACCATCCAAGTGCCATGAGGAGCAGGGCTTCTCCTGGTTTTCGAACTACACTCGTCTCTGCCAGGGTCGACGAGTGCCAGAGTCTACAACGACGCCGTTGAAGTGCTTCCTGGATTCGAAGAGACATGCGATCTTCAGGCTAGCGCCTCTAAAAGTGGAACAAGTGCATCTGGATCCCGACATCAATGTATATCATGGCATACTAACCAATTCGCATATAGCTGGTATACTAGAGCAAGCAGAGGAGCATGTAATGCAGCGCTCGGGTGTGGCTGGCGGCAAGGACAAGAGCTTGATTCGGGACCTGCGTGTTAGCCAACAGACCTGGCTCAACTATAGCAGCCCCATAATGGAGCACGTACACGATTTGGTAGCTGCCATTTCTGGTTTCGACATGAAGAGCGCCGAGATCATGCAAGTGGCCAATTATGGTGTGGGTGGTCAGTATGAGCCGCATCCCGACTATTTCGATTATCTGTTGCCCGCCGGCTACGAGGGCGATCGAATTTCCACCAGCATGTTCTACGTAAGTGAAAGCTATATCTTTTTAATTATCTATCTTACTCTGCCCTTGCCTTAGCTCTCAGATGTAGCTCAGGGTGGCTACACGGTCTTCACAAGACTCAACGTCTTCTTGCGACCCATCAAGGGGGCCATGGTCATGTGGCATAATCTGCACAGATCCTTAAGGCCGGATGTGCGCACACAGCATGCCGGCTGCCCAGTCTTAGTGGGCTCCAAGCGCAGTAAGTACACATATTAGTTTTAAAATGCAACTTACACTTAAACCCCTCTAATTAGTTGGCAATATTTGGATACACTCGGGCCACCAGGAATTCAGCAGGCCCTGCGAACTGTTCAACGATGGAGAGAAGTCGACAGGCTTGACGCTCTAGTTTTAATAAATATATATCTTGCTTTAATTAAATCACTCGAGTTTGGCTTGCACAGTTTGAAAGTTCAGAAGTTTCAGTTGAAATCCCTGTAGGGCAGCGATATTTCATTATCACGGTATATATCACAGGGTCTCACATGGTCCTGCCGCCGTTCACGTATCCACACATTGGCAACTGCAGGGAGAACGAAAATTCGGAAAAAATAAAAGAAAAGAAAAACTGGTCGACTCACTCCACTTGTTTCCCAAGAGCACTGGACAAGCGGCGTGCTTCGTACGATAGTCCTGATCGCCAGAGCGATGCAAGTTATACCAAAATAGTAGACTGCCACGTTGAGGCGTCACCAGCAGGGGCAGGAATGGAAAAGCGGTGCCACCACCCTCCTGAACATCAGAGAGCTGCAGGAAATGGCGAACAGATGTTTAAATACGTTTAATTTCTTAAATTTATTTATTTCTATTAACGAATACCACAAGTAAATTATTATGAGTTCCTTTATCGGCATATGTTTTAATACTTTTAATTTCTTAAATGTATTAATTTCTAATAACGAATACCTCAAGTATAGTAAATTATTATGATTTCCTTTATTTAGAAAGGAATTAATATTATTTTGAAAACTTTAAAATATTCTGATTTTTCCGAGTTTTGACTTTGAACAAAAACTAAACTCAGACAGAAAGAGAAAGAGAGGGCTTTCATTTAATTGAAAATACTCACATAGTAGATGCCTGTAGCTATGCGATTGCCATCGTGATCATTCTCCAGATAGGTGTGGTGCTCAGGAAAGCTATCCCAATGCGGCTCAAAGTGTCCGCCAATGCCATAGTTTGCAATCTGTAGCATTTCGGCGTATCTCATGTCCAGTCCCGAAAGATCGCCCACATTTCTACTCAGCCTCCACATGGCCCGATGCTTGGTGTAATCGAAGCTGGCCCCCTGGCTCGTGCGATAGGGTGCTGCGGTGGCCTCGCTGCCCTCCAAGGAGTAGACCGTCGAGCGTTGGATGTGCGGACCCGCTAGACGTTTCAAAATACGTATGTCGCGGGCGCTTACCACTTCATGGGCCTGCACAATCAGGGGATCGAGATGCAGTTCTTCCAGCTTGTAGGGCTGCAGGAGCCGGAAGGGCACCTTGTTACTCTGGTAGCGACAGCGCAAGGGCCGCTGCGAGCGTGCAGAGGGCTTTAGTTCGCCACGACAGACTTGCTCGTAGAGGCGGAACTCCTGCGAGATGTGATAGTCGGTAGGTGAGCGGACGGTCTCGTGAAGCAGACCATGCCTGACTCCATCTCTGATCAGCTCCTCAAGCAGCTCACGTTTCTCGTACAGATGAGGTCGCTCCTCCGGCACCAGGTATAGCACATAATTGACCAGATCCAGGGCGTTCTCATAGTCGCCCAATGTCTGATGATATTCTGCTACAGACTCCATAAAGTCCAGCGAGCCGGACTCTGTACCATAGCTCTGAGTTGCCAGCAGCTGCATTGATTGCTTCAGCCAAGGTACGGTGTTGTTGTAGTCCCGCATTGTGTACAGATGTTGGCCAAGCACGAAGCAATCCTGCCAGGACATGCCAGTACTGCACAGTCACATTATGAGGCAGTTTGCAAAGGTGAAGCAAATAATGTGATTAGAGAAAATAAATAGAGAAAATAATCAAAAATGATATAATTATAAACTTAACTAAAAACGATTAATGTTATATAAATAAAATACTGAATATATAATATATATTTTAAAAAATAGTGTCTTTCAAAATTGTTGCCATTTACATCAAATTAAAATTTTCTAGAACTTATATTTGTATAACTTAAATTATGAAGGTAAATGTAATATAAATTTCAAAATGTCGATCTCCGTTTAGCAAACAAATATTGTTTAACAAACAAATCATTTGACAAACTGTACCTTAATGTTCACTTGATTAAACGATCTCGAAAAAAATAGTATTATAATATTATACCTAATGTCAAACCAGTATTTCGAAATGTCTATAGATAGCTAAATTACTGCCAAAAAGTAAAGAGATTAGTAATGCTATAAAATGACAATTTGTAAATATTATTTGTTTATACTTGTATATGCATGTATTTATAAAAGATATTTTTCTATTTCGTCATTGTTTTATTGAGCCTACCACTCGTAATTAATCAACGTTCTTGATCAGCATAACAAAACGAGTAGACATATCTGAGTGTCTGTCTGACGCGAGAATTATGGGAATGGGTTATAAGTATATAGTTGAATAATTATAATTATAATCATTTTCTGATCATATAAAATATCGTCACTATTATTTTTAATTCTCTTTAACTTTTGTTATCGTGAAAGAGGGAAGTTATGGGCAATTTATTGTTGCAATTTCTATATTGATTCGATTCTAAAATAAATGAATAGTTATAAAACGAGAGTCCCAGCAAAAACTATAACATATAAAGATAAAAAGAAGAACTAATAACAAAAAGATATTAACAATATTAATTGCTTTAGTTTATTAATTGCTTTAGTTTTTGTTATTAGTATAATTTTATTTGTTTTTGTATATAACAATAGTAAGTGAGTTCTTTAAAAGTTTATATATTTGTTTCATTGGAAAAAAGTCCAGCCATTCTTATTGTCACAAAACAAGAAAAAACAAAAATGTTGACAGCACAAATATGTCAATGGAAAAAGTTTTGTGTGTTATGTCGTTGATATTAATTTTTCAGCAAACACTGCGCTTGAATGTCTGCAAACATGTGCAGCAACTACTTGTATATAAGAGGTTGAAAGATAAAATTGAAAATGAATTTGAAAGCTGCCCATCAATAACTGCTATATATATATACTTTATATATATGTATTATATTGTTACAAACGACTGAAAATATTCAGAACAGGCACCTAAATATGTATTGTAACATACTTCTTTAAAGTTGAAAGTTTATTTGAAAATGTTCGCATTTGGAGACTTTTGCAATTTATTGTACACATATTTAAGATATGTTGTATGTAGACTTGCAATAGAATTTGGCCGAAATGGTACCCATTCTTCTATAATTATAATTAGATTTCTTACTCAATGTTATTACTGAGACTCTTAATCAGATATTGTTGTTAATCCACACCCTCCCTTTTCGACCGCCACTCACCCATGCTTGATGCCATTCAGTATGCCACTCGCCAGCTCGGCCACGTCCAGCTGATAGGTTTGCTGTAGTCGCGTCAGAGCCAGAGCTGAGCCCACGAAGTCCTCGTGGGTGGGGAAGCTCAAGTTCTGTTGATGCTTGGCCATGGCCTCGAGGTAGTCTATTGTGTGGGTGCGTGTTTAGGGGGATGGGGCGTTTGAGAACAATGAGGAAAGTGCGATGGTCAGATAACAGTTAACAGCAAGTCATTGTGCGCCACTAGGCGTATGTGTGATGGATACGAACTTGTGCGACTCGCCTCCCTCTCCACGCTATCCGAGAAGGTCTGCCAATCGCTGTGCAGGCGCTTGATCAGGCGAAATGCATTCACCGGATTGTTCAGGTAGCCTTCGATGCTATCGGCTGCACTCAGATGCTCCACTTTGATGGCATCGATTTCACTTCAACGAGAAAGAGAAAAAAATGAAAATGAAAAAAAGTTCAAACATCAATCACGTTTAAGTTTTAAATATTTTGTTTTTGCATAATATTTTGGGTAAATAAAGCATTTGGTAGCCGACTAATTTGCATAATATCGACATCTATTTGCAGCTTAATTCGCCGGCCAGACTCGTATGGAAGTGACGCAGTTTTCCGTTGTTTGCTCACCACTAACTAATTGTTTTTCACAATTCCCATTGATTAAAAACTGATGCAGAGCTATTAAAAAAATATCAAGCCACCTGTATAATACGTATATAAATTGATAATTTACCAAATGCGCCAAATTGATGATTTATTCTGTTTTGTTATAAATTTTTAACGCATTTATAGTCCCGCCAAACGCCATTCAAAATCAATAAAACCGAACTCATATTTCACAGATACTCGTACAAATGCCGGCGCATGCAGCTGGTATCTTTGGAGGAACTTGTGGCTCGGCTTTTATGGCGTTAGCCATTAAGAAACTACGGCACTTGGTGCTGTTTCAACACCTCGGGGCCATAAATAATGTGGCTATTGTGTCCATCAAGCATTTCCAATTATCTGACTTCACTTTTCAGATTAGTGAGCTCAGCCTTTGGACATACAAGTACCTATAAATGCAAAATTTCTCGCTCTTGGTGGGAACTCGTATTTTGCGCTTAAGCTAACCAGTTCCCTCGCCAACAAAATAAAAACAATTTAAAATATAAATTACAATTTGTTTAACGGTGCATTCAGAATTATTTGTCACTAATTCTGAGCCGGTTTCATTCTGGAAAAAAATATCACAATAATATACTGCAGCTAAATACGCCATATTTCTTGTTCCATTTCGGCATCATTGACCGATTTCTTTAGTTCGGCTACCATCGAATCATAGTCTTTTTGTGTGCTCTTGATAAATGGGCTTTAATTGCCGCACAGACAGCTCAGTAGCTATTTGATATCGTTTAAGCAGCAAATCGATTTCAACAGATTTTATCTGTCTAGCTATTTGGTAAGCAAATGCGAATGTCGGAAGCCCCGGGAGGAAAAAGACCGCCGGGAACGCAACTCTGATGGTGCATGTCATGCCATAAAAATGCAATTAAGAGAACGAGTTGAGGCACCTCAAGGCTCATAAAAACCTCAACATTTAGCAGGTAATAAAACTAATAATTAGAAAAGTGTCTTTTATGGCCAAATTATTATACTATTATTAGCACAATTTTTCAACAAAATAACTAATAATTGGATTTTAAATTCGAAAATAATTTGTATTATTATGTGTTTTCAATAGAAGGCGCTTTCAGACTCCACCCTAGACAGCAACAAAAATAAAGCTTAATTTCTTTTCATGAACAACGTTAAGAAGGAAAGGTAGTGATTATTTGATATATTTCTTAAATACTTAAAGTTTTGAAATAAATACGCAATAAATGTGAGCAAACAATGACAGATGCTTAGTAAAGATAAAATATATTGTCGCAATAAAATGAAAATCATATTTTTGAATGATTATTTCATGAAATGACTCGCTAGAAATATGCCCTTAAAGCCTAAATGCTATCCAAAAAATGTAAATTTTGTAATGTTTTATGTCTTATAGTATTAACGTTGTAGGCGAATTTTCAATTGAATTGATAATTATTATCATTATAAAATATAGATTTATAATTATTTGAATTTAAACGACTTCCAGCAGATAGTTAATCATAGACTGATTGCCAAAAAATATTTTTAAAATATTGGACCAATGCCTCTTGTTACTTTTATTGCATATTGATATACAAATTGTAGTATCTCTATCATATTCAATTTATTATTCAAGCTTATGTCGCAGAATTGTTTGCAATTATTTAAAATCCCATGTCTACAAGCAAAGCCCCGTACCGCGATAATTACTAGATGTGTGAGTGAAAAATGTCAAGCATCAGGGGTAAAATAAAAGGCATCATCTGTCTGCCAACCGGTTTAGTGAGAACTTGGACTTGTAATTAAATGAAATAATAAAGTGTCCAGTCGTGCTTAACAAACCAAGTCGCTTTCAATCGCAGAAAAGCAACAGCTTGTGGCCTTTCCGAACGCCCAGGCAACAAAGCCATCAAGTGACAAAAAATGTGACAAAGAATGAAAACCACAACAACAACAAGAACAACAACAAAAACAGTAGCAACAACAATAAAGTGAGGCCCACCTGACAGGTCGGCAAAACTGCAATTAATTAACAACTGGCGTGGGCGAGGTATGAAAAAAAGAAGAATAGTATGCTTATTAATTTTTATAAAACAGCAACTCATAAGCCCATGCAAACAAACCCACAACTAAAGCTTATATTTGGTTATAAATATTTCTTGTAGGCTGCCCAGAGCTTAAATATTCACTCGAATTTGGATTGTTACTGAGCAGAAAAGGCTACCAGAGCCAGCTACAAATATGTGTGTTTATATAAATTAGAACAACTTGCTGCCATATGTGAAAGGCATGAAAGAAATAGAAAAAAAAAACTGCCAGAAGCTGCTCCAGTTGCTGGCCAAAACTTTTAGTTCCATTAAAATGTTATGAGTTTATAATTAAATTCCTTTCGTTTCATTCATGAGGTTACCTTTGCAACGCCTCGGCATGCTGACTTATTTCATTCACATAGTTCTGTAGCTCGGCCAGGAGCACCACCTCAGTGCGAAGAAGTTGGCTCAGACCACTGGTCGAGCTATAAAACTCGGCTGTGACGCAATGCAGCACGGCGACTAGGACGGCAAGTGTTGCAAGCATCTTCATTGTTATTTCTGGGAGTTTGTTTTTATTACACTTTCCGAAAATGTGGCCGGCTTTGTCGAATGAGGCGCATGCGCAGCGCTCTACCTTGCTTTCTAAGCCGCGTCTCGTATCGAACTGCGGGCTTAGCTGGTGAGCGGTGCGTTGAAAACCATCATCGAGTGGATCTGAAAAAGCTTGAGGCGTTTGGTATTATGCGTGTGCCCGGCGGTGTGACGAACTAGTACGGAACCAGCAGTTCAGAGGCCTGGCTGTTATGCAAAAGTTATAGTTACAAATATTATTTTTAAATTAGACATTAACTATTCTTGGCATGTTAGATTGATAAAGCATATTAATTGCATTAATCCAGTGGTTAGAGAATTTTCCGGCGATGACTGAAAAGATAATTAAGTAAAGTGAGTTCGGCTTATTATATTTTGGTTTATTAAAACATTAGTTTTTTAATATGAAACCTATTTTATATGTATTTTGAAACTTTTCTATTGCGGGCTATTTCTTTTTTGCTGGTGATTTAGTTCTTCAAAGTTCTTAAATGTTATCTTGCCTTAAATCCAACACATTAATGAAAGTTATTGTATTAATTAAAGAAAAATTGAAGTAGAAAACAATACATTATTTTACATAACCCATGAATAAAAATATCTTAAATCTTTTTTAAAAAAAGTTAAAGATAGGACTTTCCGTTGTAGTCTACAAAGATATTATTGAATTAATTCAAATGCGATAACGAAAATATAATAACGGTGCATTCCAGCTAGACGAACTGGTTCATACGTAACAAGATAGTTCTCGAAAAAATCAATAAATAAAGTACAAGTCCAAAAGAAGATTCTTTAAGCAAGAGATAAACCTTTAGCTTTAAAAACTGCGTTACAAACTGGTTCATCGGCACACACATGAGTCTCTAAATAGTTCATAAAAGTGACTGGAACTAGTTAGAAAGCGTTCACGCCGCAGTTTCAGATAAAGTTTCGGGTAATGTTTAAGCCGCCAGCGTTGGTCACGGCCTATTTTGGTTTTTTTTTTTTTGTTTTTTTTTGGATTGTTCATAGAATTGCCCTCAAGGGTGCCGCATGAATGGCGATGGCATGTCGAGAAGGCAGGCAGCAAGGTCAATAAACCAACAAGAAGGCAACTCATGTAAATAATTTACGGCACTATTTTTTATTTTTGGCAATTAAACTGAATGTACAACTTAATAAGCAGTGCCAAGTCAAGTCAGCCATGAAACCTTTCCACAAACTGTCTTAACGTATTTGCCTCAGCAAGTGGCTAGGCATAATCACAAGTTAAAGTTTTTGTCTTCTTCATGCCGTCGCCTTCTAATTACTTTCACTTCATAGGCTCGTCAGACGCCATTTGGCAGCTCCGACTAATCGTACACGATGCCGATACTAATATGCAAAACAGCCGCTAAAACTTTGTCCATGAACTTGTTTATGCTAATTGCCGGCTTGCTTGGTTCATCCCATTATCGCGGCTCGTTCTCTTGTTTGCTCGGTGTTTGCCGAACCGCTTCGAGTGAGACTTCCAACAAGTTATTGAGAGACAGCCAAAAAAAAAAAAATAACCAAAACAAAACCGAAACACGCTCAAACTTAGCTTTCGCATTGAGTCAAAGTTTCTGATAATGGCAGCGCAACCCAATAAACATTTTCTGCGGCTTTAAACGAAAACAACGAACTGAGGATTTATTTTATTTTATCGCTTCATAGTCCAAAGAAATTTCATGATCCCGATAGACATCACAGGGACGTGCAAAGGTCTGTGTGGCCTCATGAATCCAAACGTTGCCAACTGAAAAAAAAGATCAATAATATATTTATATATATTTTATATTATTTCATATTTAAGATAAATTGAATAAATTAAATTACTTAAGCTCATATCCAAGTTATGGGACCATTTAAGCTGGCATTACATAGCGAAGTTCAAAATCCTAAAACTCTCAGCACATTAAGGTCGTAAAAGAAGAGTTTTCAGAACAACTAATCGATTTTCAAAGATAAACTGAGCCTCACAAATGCAATTGACAATTTGAAGAGTTTTGTGCGATTTGATATCACAAATTTGTTTTGCAGAAATTCAGCCTGCTATTCAAATTAAATTGTATAATACATGTCTTTTGATTTTGTTCATATTTAAATTGGATCTTAAACAAAATATAAAAGAATAAGAGCAATTTATTTTTCCTTGAGAAACAAAATAAAAAAAACATATTTAAATCTGAACAAAGTTTTTGATATTCTTAAGAAAAAACACCCACAAAACAATTTGAACAAAAACAAAACAATTTCTATGGTTTATAAAATAGGTTGTCCTAAACGTTAACTAATTTAATTCGATTGGTTCGTGTTTAACAATGGATAAAATCCACAAATTTCTAAGAAACGACTATCACAAAAGTAAATGTATAAACATTTTCAAAAAACGTATCACTATTTATATCGCAATTAATATCGTAAGAGGAAACTATTTGGAGACGTACTATGCTCGTGATTTTGACACACATTTTGCCAATTATTTATTATGAAAATTGAATTATTATATAATTATAAATTATATATAATAATTATAATATTATATTGCAATATTTTTGTTTGATTTGGATTCTAGGGCGTGGCAGCTAATGCGAATTGTCTTTTGGTATATAGAACTCAGGAAACTAAAGGAAATCAAAATTCTCGCAGGTGCGATAGACACGTTTCAGTTTTAGTTTTAATTAACATGAAGGTATGACTTATTAAATAAATAAATTAAGACGTCGCCTACAGGCGGAAAACGCGAGAATTAAAGTAATCGCATGTTCTAAAGATGATCAATATCCCGTTCGCCGATACAGAAGTATGTTGAAAAAAAAGTAAAACAACTAAAGAAAGACAAATCCAATATGTAAAGTATACCTTTAACTAAAAAAACGCCATTCGAACAAGTTGTGATCACTTTTTTGTTTAGGTTTGAAGGTTGAATTCTCTATTTTCTTTTATCATTCAAATGATTTGCGAATTTCTTAGAAATGGAGATCTTTTTATAGACAAACAAGACAAACTCACTAGCTTTTGTTTAGTGCCTCATCTAATTAAAAATTTGCATTTAATCGAGGCGCAATAAAATGCTCGTTACTTACTCCATTTGCTGCCCTTGAGCACCGGACAACCGGCATGTTTGGTGCGGTAATCCATGTCTGACGATCGATGCAGATTATACCAGAAGAGTACATTGCCCAGCTGGGGCTTCACCGCAAAGTTGAGGAATGGAAAAGCTGTGGCACCGCCCTGCTCCACATCAGACAACTAAAATAAATGTTATTACAAGTATTAATTAATGTTTACAAATGAATTGCTTAGTGCGAGCTCACATAAAATATGGCTGTGGCTATGCGATTTCCCTCCTCGGCCGGATAATGGCTCTCATCCCGAAAGAAGTCCCAGTGCGGCTCGTAGTGTCCACCGACGCCATAGTTTGCCACTTGCAACTGCTCGCAATAGGTCATGTCCAGGCCAGAGGCGTCGTGCAAGTCCTGGAGCATGCCCAGCATTGTTGGATGCGTATTGTAGGCCAGCCAGGCGTTTTTGCTGACCCGGAAAGCGGACTTTTTCAGCTGACCGCCGGGCAGCGGGTTAACGGTGGAGCGTTGCATGCGCGGCACGGCCATTTGCTTCAACTCTACTATTTTCTCCACACTCAGCATGTCATGGTAGGTGACCACATACGGATCCAGGCTATGCTCCTCAATCTTGAAAGGCGCCAGCAGCCGAAAGGTATTGTGCCCCCGTGCGTAACGACAACGAAGTGGACGCTCCTGGGCGGCTGAGGGGCCGACCTCGCCACGACAAACCTTCTCATAGTGGGCGAACTCTTCCGTCAACTAAAAAAAACTGAGATTAGTCAGCTACAACGTATATATAATGTGTTTCCGGTACTTACACTGTAGGGATCTGAATGCTTGGGCAGGTGTCCCCCCCACACATTTTCCGCCCAGTCATCGTCCTCATCAACTCTGGTGGGTGTTGGCTGAGCCGCCTTATCGCCCAAGTGCCAGTTTCGTATCCGCTTCGGATCAAACTCCAGCACACGTTGACTGAGCTCGTATGCCGTGTCGAAGTCCCCTAAAAATGGTTCAATCAACGGCCTGCTCACAAACATTTACAACAGACTTCTAAATTAAAATTAGACTGGTTATGGGAAGGGACCAGGTCAATGGACTCCATTCTACTTTGGTTTTGATATCAAAAAGCAGAACCAACTGTTATTATTGGAACTATTTTGAAAGTTCAAATGTTTTATAGCTTAATTTAAAAATACAACTACATTTAATAAAATTTAACTTCTATTGAAATATATATTAAAGAGTAAATCAAATTGGTTTGAGCTTCGGAAGATGTTGAAAATGTGACATTTAGTACAGATTCCTAAATTCAAATAATTATGGGTCTATCCTACTTTCCGTTTGATATTAAAGAGTAGAACCAACTAACTATTTGAATTATTCCTCAAGTTTTAAATATTTTTTAGGCTTGTATAAACTTTATTTTAACAATTTTGCAGGTCTTGACTTAAGTTAGCACACATTTAAATTGATTTTAAATTAAAGCTGCATTTGTGAAAATTGACAGTTCAAATTAAAAATAGAAAAGCTGGACTACATTTTGGTAAAAATGAAGTATTTTTATTTATTTATTAAGTGTTGCTATGCGATGGAACTCGACAAACGAACAGTAAGAACAAGCTATACCTCCGTGGCCTTAAGCTACATTTTAGTAGAAGTTAAGTTAGATATCAACCTAACCTAACATATACAAGTATTAAAGAGTAATTCGAATTTGTTTGCTATAGAAAATTTGGAAAATGTGGCATTTGAAGTTCTCTTAAATAAGACCAGTAAGTCACATTCCAGCAAAATATCGCTCTATGTATATCTTTTTTTTAATGAAAATTCTTTGAGATAACAAAACCCTACATCAATATTGGATAGCAATCAAGCAATGATTGTTGACAATGTGCCATTTAGAATACAAGTAGTTTTATTTTAAAAACTGTCCTCAGACTAACTAAATACTAAAGAAAAACACAGTCCACTCTGATTCTCGAAACAAACAGGAAAAGCTGACCAGTCTAATGTACAGTTTTGTGTGTTGAGTGCTCACCCATTTGGAACAAAGTCTTTGCCACCAGCTCCATGCTATTGAGTGTGCCAGCCTCAGGCAGGATGTGATGTGGCTGGCGTTGCCGCAAGCGCTCCATGGATTCGCGCAGCCACACTTTGGTATTGTTATAGTCCTCCATTTCAAAGAGTTGTTGACCCAACACGAAGCAATCCTGCCAGCTCATGGCAGTGCTAAAAATAAAGTCGGCATAAAAATGAATTGATTATGATGCAGAACACACCAACTCACTAGCACTAGCACCAGCACCAGCACCATGCCAGGACCATTCTCACCACCAGCTTCATATGGCAGCACACAGTGCGTGTGTGTTGGTTATTTTTAGCCTGCCTGAATGGTTATTGGCTTTTCGGCCACACACTCCCACACACACTCCCACTTTCCCACACTCACCCATATTTAATTCCATTCAATATGCCCGCAGCCACTTGTGCGACGTCCAACTTGTAGGTGCTCTGTAGGCGGACGAGCGCCAAGGCGGCACCATCCACGTCCTCCTGGCTGGGGAAGCTCAGCGTGTGGTGGTGCTGTGCAATCGAAAATGCTGCCAATGGAAAATTATAGCTGATAATTGCGGGGGCAAATTGTTTCTGACTTACGCATTCTACTGCTCATTTGTTGCACCCGCGCCTCCAGCTCGGTCCAGTCCGTACGAAGGCGCTTCATCAGTCGATACACATTCACCGGATTTGTCAGATAGTTTTCCATACCTTTGCCGGCCAATTCATGCTCCAACTCTATGGCCGATAGTTCACTGTGGGAATGGATAACGTGATCAACTGGCACAGCAGCAAAAACAACAACAACAACAACTTTACCAGTTTGACCGATTTATGATAGCGACTGCGATGCCGTCGACTCTTTGTCGTCATAAAAGCAGACAAGCGGACAAACGACAAACGACTGTACCGGCTTAATTAATTCTAATTTATTTGTGATTCTACTACATAATATTTTTTATGATTTTTCTACTTTTTGTTGCGATAAGCGCAAACGAAAGCGAAATGTGAAACCAGAAATTCGATCACCCCAGGCCAGATAAGGCTCAAAATTCAACAGTGCAGGAAGCCCAGATTCTTAAATCATAAATTTAAATATAGCTATAATTTTAGAGATTTTTATTTGGGCATTTTCATTTAGACATGCATATTGAAAGTGAATTGAGGAGTGAAAAATTGACCGAATTTCGTGCAAATTATTTGTCTGTCATGTTGAAACTATAGCTTTCCAATTAACTCAAATACTCATATTATATAAGCTACGTTTGACGAACTTAAAGAACTATTTTCAGATAGCAGAATAAATGGTTTAAATTTTTCCAAAAATTGCTGTATTTTGAATAATACTTTAAAAAATGACTAACTAAACATCCTCTTTGTAGTTATTTCTTTCGGTTGACGAAAAAATTATCTTACGTAATAAAATAGTATTCGATTTAAAATAAACTATTTGTTTTTATATAAAATTAATAAACATAAATTATTGATTTTGTAATTTTTGCTTTCTTACCTAAAATAGGCGTATATTACCTCTTTGAAAACAAAATTTTAGTCACAATATTTGTTTTGAATAATACTTTAAAAAATGACTAACTAAACATCCTCTTTGTAGTGTTTTCTTTCGGTTGACGAAAAAATTATCTTACGTAATAAAATAGTATTCGATTTAAAATAAACTATTTGTTTTTATATAAAATTAATAAACATAAATTATTGATTTTGTAATTTTTGCTTTCTTACCTAAAATAGGCGTGAAAATATTGCAATTATATTGGAAAAATAAAATATATCACCTCTTTGAAAACAAAATTTTAGTCACAATATTTGTTTTCAAGTAATTTAAAAACAGATCGTTCGAGAACTGATGCTTTGGTTAAAATAAAAGTAATTAATCAATCCGCGTTATTCGACGATGCTTTTAAAAACGAGCTAATTTTTGAATATCGATTCTAATTGCAAGAGTTTCATAAAATTGACTAAATATATGAATTTCTCGCAGGTAGTTGTTCTTAATTTAGGTTATTTATGAGTACCTCGATCGTAGAAACTAGACTATAATATGGACGAATAGGTTTGATCTTTAGACTCACTATATTTATCCAGATATTCTTAAATGTATTTTCTGTTTATAAATTATATTTGGCAAATATTCCTGACTTTTATGACCGGACCTTTTATTTTATTCAAACATTCAACACCTTTTCTCAGAAAACTTTTTAAAAATGAATAAAAATATGTGAATATTATATTAAAAAATCTACATTTCCTTCTCAGTCACTCTAGACTCTAAATGAAAAGCTTTCTGCATTTCTATAAAGTAGAGTATCCACTGAATCACATATGGCACTCTTGACTTTTATGGCTAATGAGATAGGTATTGGCACTCACCTTTCTAGCTGTTGAAGCCTGGCCTTCGATTTGCTCAGGTGTGTGCTTAAGTCCCGCATTAAAATCTGTTCAGTTTGCAGCAGTTGCTCCAGGCCTGTAATGGACGAGAAGTAATCGGTGGCCCCGGAGCAACTGCCAAGGCTGACAAGGAGCCATAGAGACAGCAAGAGGCGTGCCTGCATCGCAATACGAGTATATCCTTGTAAAGTATCCTTGCTTAAATGACTTTAAATGCTAACTTGGTGCGCCCTCAGTTCTCCGTTCGTCTGCAGCTCAGCACGTTTCACAGCCAACTGACTGTGTTGTTGGCCGATTCTCGGCTGCCAACTGGTGGAGACATCAAAAGATCGCATAAAATCAGCGACTACAAGTCGTTTAGCACGCACACGCGCTGGATCGATAACACTGCTAACTACTTGTATAATCAAACTAGCGCCTAAGCCATGGATCTGAGCAAAAGTCTGGGCAGCTGCTGACTTCTCGAGAAGAAAAGTTTTTGTTTTTGTCTTTTTTTCCATTGGCGAGTATAGACTTTTTATACGGGTTTTTGCTCAGCTGGTTGCCCGGCTGGCTATCTGTGTTTTATGATTTTGGCAAAACTGATTTACGGATGTTTATTATGAGCTCGTTTCGGGCGAGCCGCAAGCTGCAGATACAGCTGAAACTTCTTGGCTCTCTTTTTTTTGTCTCTATTTTGATGTGTGACGTTTGTTGCCTTTTGTTATTGGCTTATTAATTCAGACTAATTAACAAAATGTCGTTTGCTGATTTAAATATTGCAGTTTGTTGCCTTCAGCCGTTGATATTGTTGTTGTTGCGTTGCTGCGAACTGCTCTGCTCGTTGTTGTGGGACAGTGTTGGAAAGTTCTAAGCCGGTTTCCACGCTACTGGCTCATTAGCATTTACCGAATTTGAATATTCACAACTCATGTGCTATTATCGCTTAGCATTAGCTGCACAAAAAAAATGTTGGCATATTCTCATTATGGGATTAGTCCATTTATCGGTCCATATGCTTGTCGTTCGGCATGACATGTGTTAGTTTTATTTTATGCTCTATTATTGATTGTTGCATTTTTATTAACTTAACAGGCGGGTTGTGTTTATTATACATATATTCGCATACATACACACAGAGAGATACATATATATTTGTTTGGGCAATGAATTTTAAATTTACGAGCAAGTAAATTTCATTATAAGAGCTATTGTTTGATTTTATGTGTTGTTTAACAGTTAACTGTGTTTCTTTTTTTCTTGTTTACTTAAACTATTTCCTACTGAATGGAAGTGAATGAAAACACTCGCCGGAGTGCAAAAAATCTCTTAATTGTGTTAATCAGTGGCATCAGCGATGCATAAATGTTTTAATTGTGTTTGTCGAATAAACAGACACAGACAGCAGTTATTGTTTTTGATTTTTATTGTAGAATATATTTTGCCACACCTCCACAAATGTAGTCAGGCATAAAAGTGAAAATTAAACTTTAAACAAAAGCAGGAAAAAATTTAATAGTATTTCATTTGAGTGCCACTAACAGTTCCAAGGTAGAATCAGAGTCAACTTATTGTCGTCCAAGCGGCTGTGGGGTTAAAAAAAAAATGAATAAATTAACTCGATATCAGAAGGATTTAATTATGTCTTTGTGGCTGCCAAGACTTACACAATTGTGCGCCTAACAACACTGGACAGACAACCTGACGACTGCGGTAGTCCGGCTCATGAGTCTCGCCGATGGCGCGCCAGTAAAGCAGAGAGCCGCTCGGTACCTGAATGTTCAGCTCCAGCTGCGGAAATACAACGGCGCCGCCCAGTCTCGACTGTTGTAGCTGCAACGATGGTGGAAGAGAGAATGTGAGAGAGGGCGGTGAGAGGGGAGGAGCGCACGTTAACTTTTCTCCATTAGCAACATTTTAATTAATGCCGTGAATGGTGGAGAATGAGAGGGAGAGAGGGAGAGAGGAAGGGAGGGAGTGAGAGCTCACAATACGTACATTGAACATAACGCGCGCAGCATGTGATGCTGCTTCTGTGCTGTGGGCGGCAGCCACGTGCTCGTGTCCATAACGCCGCGCCTCCCACGAACCAAAGTCGACCATCATATGACCTTCCCGTTGAGCCACTGCTTGCGTCAGACGTCGCAGCTTCTTCTGGGCTAGCTTGGTGAACTGCAGCTTTTCGTAGAACGTATTGCTTGAGTTTGTTTCATCCTCATCCAGCAGAGTTAGCAACTCTTCAATCTGCCTCTCTCCAATCACATCATGGTAGAGGACAATATAGGGATCCTGGCTAAGTTGCTCCAAGCGATGTGGGTTCAGCAGCCCTGCTGGATTGCTCCTCTCTAAATAGCAATGCTCGTGCTTTGAGTCCTTGGCGGTGCGTTGCCGACAAAGTTCCTCAATTAGCTGCTGCTCCACAGACTGCAAGGTTGGAATAAAATTAATTCGAAACATCGAAATTGCAATAATTAGCGACTCAAGCAAATCAAATCAATTCGAATCGAATCGAGTCAGACCAGCTAGAATAGCACCGACCTCTACTCGCACACTTCATTAGTTCTACATCTGCCTAACTCAAATATTAAAGGCATCTAAGCCACAAAAATATCTAATCATTTAGTGATTTTCTAGAAAAAAGTATGTAGACATTATTTAACATCATTAGGAATTTTATTGAATTTCTATTATTTGCTTTGGCTACCTAAACATATAATTCGTTTTTCATAAAAGATACATATATATTTGTTCTGTACACTACTTTCTTTTTAATTTATATTTCCAATATTTCGATTTTATTTCGAATAAAAATGACTTGATTTTGTTATTCCGTAGAAGATAAGCAGAAATCCTTTCGTGTTTGTATTCGATTCAGACTTGATTATATATATTGAAAAGATTACTTCGAACTTACTGATAGACACATATGTATCTTTACACCTTTCATGTCTTTTAAAAACAGTCTTCATATTTCTATATTCTATTCTATTTACTATTTCTACTATTTCTGGCTTTTTTAGAGCAGTACTTATGTCTGTAGGGTTTTCTCGTTTGTCGAATATTAGTACGTCCTTTAAACTTACACTACACAAATATTGAATGCGATGTATATTGGATTAGTCATTATTGCTTTCGCTGAACCGTAAGATCTACACAAATCGTTAAAAATATTGTGTGAGTTATGCATGTGAATTTTCGTCCCCATTTCTAATTTGTATAAATGATAAGCATTAAGCATTTACATAGTTATATAATCAATACATGGTGCTTAACTCACGCACATAAAATAATGTTGTAAATATTTACTTTTATTCTCAAAACGTTGAACCCTATTGTTTTAAATAGACCTTTATACTTGCAAAGAAAGCTTATTGACAGTTAGCATGACTGGAAGCGGAAGGATTAATTAATTTCATAGCCTTTTTCATGGCAATCCACGGGGTACCAAAATGTGTACTATAGCGGGGGTATGGCGTAGAATGCTTTTCAATTCTTTTACTTTCTCGTAAAACATTCATTTTTGTAAAGTATTGTCAATAATGAAATAAATGTATTTCAATTTATGTTTTTCCCCTGCTTATAGAGTAATTGTTTACCGCTAGGATTTTAGTTCACCAAACCTCCGAATGCATTCAAAGAATTTAAAATTATAATTATTATAATGCATTACTTGTATTTTTGCAACTGTTTGCCATTTTGGCGAGCTCTCTTTTCGCCACTACGTTTTTGCCACACCAAGCGCCATGAAGCAAATAATATAATACATATTTTTTGCATTTGTTTGTGTTTCGCTAAAATATACATGTATGTACATACTTGAGTGAGCTGCTCGCTTCGCTACTCGACAAGATTCGCACACAAGTGTGTTTGCTTAAGTCCCTAACTAAGTAATTGCAGTACAACCTTAATAAAAGTGTGGAAGCATAGACAAAGTTATGAGCAGCTTTTCAATGAATTCGAAAATATGTTATTCGAAATGAAGTTTGACAATTTTCAGTGTGCATAGCGTGTTGGTAAGAAAGCCAATTAAATGGAAGCATGAAAATGAAAATATAGCTGCCATAACTCACCTTTGACTTTTGTTGTTTGTGCTGCTGTCGCGTTTTGTTGTGCCCGGCCAGGTCCTTTTCAATTTTCGCCTTTGCTTTCTGAATGTTTTTATGTTCGGGACGCAACAACAACAGCTCGTCAGCCACCTCCAGAGCCAGCTCCAATTGTCCTGTCCAATTTAAAAATTCATCAATTAGCAAATGTTTTGTTTGTTTGCAATTCAAGGCTGTCAACCCACATACCTGCCCGATATTCCATATTCAGAAATGCCTCCAGTATGTGAACACGGGCCCGGTCGCTGTCGCCGACGACCTTGAAGTTGGATGGAGTGGGTGCCTCCTCGGTTTCATTTGTGGCAGCTGGCAGCTTTCTCAGTGCCGTTTCCAGCCAATATTTGGCCACGGCGTAGTCACCATTTTTGTCGGACTTGCGTCCAATCTCCAGGCAGTCACTCCAGGACATTGCTGAGCTGTAAAATATGCAACGATTTTGTGATTGTTATTATAAGTTGTTATTGTTTTTCAAGTGCCTCAAGCAAAGCCGCCAGATTTACCCCAGCTTCTGCCCATTGTGGAGGCCTACAGAAAGGCTGGCGGGCTCGAGTTCGTAGAGCGACTGCAAACTCAATAAATTTGTCAGCGCCTGCTCGTATTCCTCCTCTCCAGGAAACTCCAGTTCGTCTTCGAACTGCCGATCGATGTTGCTGAGCTCGAGCGTGGCATTCGCCTGTTTCTCCAGAGCCGGCCAGCTGCTCTCAAAGCGTTTCAGTATGGTGAGTGTATTGAGCGGATTGTTCAAATACTCCTCCACCTCAACGCCCACCCGATCGTGTATAGCTTGTATAGCAGCCGTTTCCTCTTTGATGCCCGCCAACCGCTCCTCCAATGCCTCTATATAGTCTCGCAAAGCGTCGATCAGAGTTGTTTCAGTCGACAGTAGAGACTCCAAATGTTCATCGTTAGTGCTGCTCGCGGCAACTGTGATTAACAACAACAGCAAGAAATAGACAGGCATTTGCATATTAAGCCGCATTTTGAGTTTTTTGTTTTGGTATTTTCGGGGGTCACTGGCTTCTATATCTACTTCGTAGCAAGCTTTAATGTTCAATTTATTCGATTTTATTTCTGCTTTATTTACAAGCCGCTGACCGGCCGGCTTGACTGCTCTACACAAACTAAAGTTAACAATATATTCAGAGGTCGCCTTTGGCGCCTACGAAATGAAGAAAGGTGAATGGTAATTAATTATTATACGTAGATAATACGAGTATTCTAGATAATAGTTAGCATAGATAATTAGGCATTCATCTGTAGAGGTTTAGCAACTGGTCAGACAACTTCTTAAGTTCTAGGCAAGACCTCTGCCAAATTGCAACGCTTGCCAAAGCCAAACGATTTGTAGCCATCATACTTCGAATCACAAAGATGTAGTTTCTTTTGCCATATGCTGCGCGTATCAAAAGAGGCCACTGTGGAAAAATCGGGCATTAGTTCGGCATATTATCTATAAATTGCGCTCCAACTTACCCCACTTAACGCCTCCAAATATTGGACAGCTGCCATGTTTGGTGCGAAAGTCCGGCTCCAGCGTTTTGTGCGAATTCTGCCAAGCCACTAAGCTGCCCACCCGGGGCTCTATGGCCACATTCAAGTAGGGAAACACAGTTGACCCTCCTTCGTATGCATTGTTCAGCTGTGGAAGGACCACAACAATAACATTTGGCCAACAAATTGTTAAGCCAACAAGTAAATTGTTTCCATGCAAAAATAGTAGATTTTATATTCTATTCGTTCTCTGTGTGTTTGAATTCTCTATGAAGTGGCATTTTTATTGCAATTGACATTGTTGAGGGTGTTTGATAAAAATACATTTTCTTTCACTCACTCGCCAAACTAAATTGAGAATCTACGACCTAAACAAAATCCAGACATTCAATAACAAGTGTCTAAGATACATTTGCAAATTCTATAACTATGGGAGTTACAAATTCAAGAGCCTGTTGCTATTAGCATCAGAAGAGATGGATTGGGCATATCCTTAGAAGAAACTACAATGATATAAACCGAGCTGCATTAGAATGGAAGCCCCATGGAAGGCACCGCAATACTTGGTGGAGACCAGTGCTTGGTGAATCGGATACCATTGGAACGCCATGGGCACAATAAAAACATTTGCTTTAAATACTTGTAGAATTAGATTTCGTAGTTCGGTTGAGTAAATAATGCAATATAAAAAAAATCAAAAATCTTTAATAGCAAAGTTATTTGAATGTCTTCAAGCAAACCATAAGAGCCTCATAACAATACCAACTATATATTGAATTAATTCCCAACAAAAAAATATCCATTTAGAAATTTACTCTCTTCATGCATATGCTCTGTTCTAAATAAAAGTTAAATATTGTTAAAGAAACGAAAACAGAAACAAGATAGAACGCTACAGTCGAGCATGCCCGACAGTAAAATAGCCTGTACTCTCCACAAAAAGGAAAAATTAAAAAAAAAAAAACAAATTAAAAAAATTTAAAAAAAAAATTAAATTATTAAAAAAAATGAATGAATTAATTAATTAAAAAATTAATTAAATTAAATTAGAATACATGTTTATGTTCAGTTTTAACAGCATACATTTACATCACGTACCTATGCGTGTTCATATGCGTGTATGTATGCAGCACAAAGTTGAACAAAAGCAGCAACAACAACAACAGCTGCGGGCAGCGCTGCCGACAGAGGCAGCGCATTTTACTTATGGCTATAACTTTCTTCAGAATTGACCTATCATGATGAAATTTGGCACACGGACACATTAGTACTAACTGGATGTACCTACCAAAATTGATTTTAAAATTCCGAGAATTACGGAAGTTATAAGAAAAAATACGAATTGCGGGGGAGTGGGGAGGTGTATCAGAAAAAATAAACAAACTCGATCTGCCTAGGGCTTATAGGAACCTTGATACCAATTTTGGTTATCCTAGCTCTTGTACTTACTGAGATCCTTGCGCTCATACAGACAGACGGACAGACAGACGGACATGGCTATATCGAATCGTCTTCTCAGCCTGATCAAGAATATATATACCTTGTGGGGTCTGCCACGCCTCCTTCTGTGTGTTACATACATGCGCACAAAACTAGTATAGCCTTTCACCCTTTGGGTACAGGCTATAAAAAGCGAAAATTAAATCATGAGGGAGGAGTGAAACATGAAACCAAGAGTCCTTTACGCCCATTATATTTAAGGAATAAGGCTTGCCTAACACTTTTTGCTTTCAAATTGAGTAGCTTCCTGTATTCCCCTCCAGAGTTAATTTACTTACATAAATAAAAGCCGTCAAGTGATTATTGGCAAAACCAGTTTCTAAGCGGCTTACATCGAATTCAAAATCATAGTGTTGTACTACCGGCTGGACGGGTTCAATGCGCCTCAGGCGAAGCCAATTCACATCAATGCCCAAAAAATCGCTCAACTTTTTCTGCAAGTTCCTGGGCAGCTGGTGGTTCCTCAAAATATGGTTCTGTTGGGCCTTGTTTATAAGCAGTTCTGCCTCACGCTCGTCAATCACTTGATGGAAGATCGCTATATATGGAGAATCATGCAGTGTTTCGATTTTGATAGGTGCTAGGTCGTGATAGGGCGTAGGTCTAATCAAACGGCAGCGGAGCTTGTGTGGAGTTGAGTGTTGATGGTACAAGAGATTTGTGCACATATTAGCGACAATACTTTGCTCTGTTGCGATCAGCCTCTGTGGGTATACGAGTTCCTGGTATAGAGTCTGCAGCGTTTCATGGAAGAGGCCTTCAATCAACTGATTGCAGGCAGACTGTAGAGCAGTCAGTGTGCTTTCATATTCCACAATGAGTTTTACAGCTAATGGAATTTTGCCTTTTGCTCGCAGTGACCGGGCAAAAGGCAGAAGGAATGTATTGTGCTTGCCCGCCAGGCAATCGAATTGTTGCAGGTATTGGCCACCCAGTTCATCGAAAAGCCGCTGCACCCACCTGAGGACTGACTGCAGCTCTCGCGCATGCCTCAGCTCATCCAGCAACGCCACACACCTGCCCAAGGCTATCTGGGGCCTGTCAATCAAATTCATTAGTGGACACAGACAACTACCTACCATCCAACTATAGGCTACCTGTGGCGCTTTTCCAGAACAGTGAACTGGTTTTCAATGGCCTGCAGGGCAGGCTGTGCACTGCTCGGCCAACTACGTCCTGACTCTGCCGGATAGTTCCACTCATGGCACAGAATGCCCAAAACCAGTAAACAGGGTGTAAGGCGCAGCATTTTGAGCACCTTCATGGAGGGCAGACAATCGACAACTGTCGACAACCGTCGAGAACTGGTGGCAAATGTTTATAGAATAATCACTGCAATGTTTACTTTTAAAACTCCCCCTTTTTATTTTATTGAACGTCTTCAATTGCATTGTTTATTTAAAATCAGGGCTTGGATTTCTCCGTCTACGCTTCGTAGGCAGCCGACTTGGTGCGCTCCGGCGCCAGACCACACGGTCTTCGGAATTCCTGACCACCTTCATGCATCCATTCATTGCAGACTGAAATAAAAAAGTCATTTTAAAAATTGTTTACAGCATACAAATAAATATATTAGTTCATTTGGACGCTTAGCCCCTAAGAGCATGAAATAAAGTTATCGAATCGAATGAAGTCTTCTTCAAAACATCCAAGTTTATTTCTAGACCTAAGTCATACAGTGGGTAAGAGAGATATATCGGATGACACATTAAAGTCACAGATTTGAGAAAAGCAAATTTCTTTGTTTTAAAGTTCAGTTCGAGGGTTAATCCTAAATAGTTCCGAATATATCCAACTCTGCGTTCATTTGGAAATGGTTTAGTTCATATTTAAAATTATTTGTTGTCCTATACAATATTTAAAATGTCATCAGATCAGCTAAACATTATTATAAGCATCGTTCATTCTTTAACTTTCTGGAAAACCTTCCTTCTTTAAAAGATATTAGTAACTTCTAAACTGTAGATCTGCTTAAAATAATTAATTTTATATATTTTGAACTCTGCGTTTATTCGGAAATGGTTTACTTTTAATTTAAAGTGTATTGTATCCTATAAACACTATAAAATCTTGATTAAAATCTTAGCTAAAAACTATTATAAGCATCGCTAAAAATTGCTGAACATATTGATTTCATGTAAAAACCTTACGGAAAATCTTTCGTCTGTAAAAGATTTTAGTAACTTCTTAAGTAGAGATCTACTTGAATGAAAATTTGTACAAATAGCGTTTCAACTTCAAATTTGTTTGTTACTTACTCCACTTAGATCCCTTTAGCACTGGACAGCCGGCATGCAGGACGCGAAAGTCCTTCTCTGTGGACGAATGCATATTATACCAAACCACCACACTGCCCTTAACAGGATTCACCAGGAGTGGCAGGTAGGGAAAGGCTGTGCCACCGCCCATATCGACATCATTTATCTGCCACACAAACCACACAATTCAGCCAATAAAGCAAAATTATATTCAAATGAAAAACTTACATAGAAAAGTGCTGTCAGAATGCGATTCCCTTTCCAGTCATTTGTTGGGCTCTGTCAATAAAAAATAGGAACAAACTTAATTGATTTACTTACTTCAACTTAAATATTGTTTTCTGATCTTTATACACAATTTCTCTTATTTCGTAAACTTCAGACTTTTAATCGCTGTCGAAAAAGTATAGTGTGGCTATGGTAACAATGGTTATTGGAATCCCTTTATTACTATTAACTAAGCAACTCGAACGTGGAAAAAAGAACATTTACTAACTCTGTTTTCCATTTTATGAAAATGTTTATTTATCGAACTCAAGCCAAAGTTTCCACAATCGCAATTTGAGCGCCGTGCGTTCAACAGCATTTCAAATTGTATTTCAATACAATAAACAAAAAAGCGGTCGCTAAAAACAAGAGGGAAAGCTAAGCTCGGATACCCTGACTTTGAAATTTATACAAGTTTTAAATACACTTGTAATAAGGCATCTGGTGTCTCTCGCTCTTATTATCAGACACACAGAGAGACAGGTCTAGATCGACTCGTCTTGTTATGCTGATCACGAATATACTTCTGCCCACATTTTGCACGTTGCACAAATCTAATATACTTTTGTAGCTCTTAGGCAAAGAGTATAATAAATAGAGTAATGCGATATTACCCCACTTGTGATTTAAACGTAAACAATTTTCTATTCTTTGCTGGAAAAAACAAGAGAGAACGCTACAGTCGAGCAAGCCCGACAGTGAAATAACCTGCACCCAGGTAAACTTCCAACACTGAGGTATATGCGCCTCTAGGAGAATCAAAAGGAAGAAGAAGAGCGAACTTGGGGGGGGGGGGGGGGGGTTGGTGTGGTAATTCCAAAAAATAAAATAAACTCGTCTTTTCTCGGACCTAGGAGAATCTGGATTCCAACTTTGGCTTTTCTAGCTTTTATAGTTTCTGAGACTCTTGCGTTCATCCAGACAGACGGACGGACAGACGGACGGATGGACATGTCTAGATCGATTTCCCTCGTCATGCTGATACAGAATATAGATACTTTATGGGGTCGGAGATGCTTCCTTCTGCATGTTACATACCTTTGCACAAACCTAAAATACCCTTTTTACCCTAAGTGTGCAGGGTTTAAAAATAACTGACAGTATTCAGGGGCTATAGCTGAGAATTTGGAATGATAAAAGTATACTCGTATGTACATACGGACATGTAATCGTAGTGTGGTTCGTATTGCCCGCCTATGCCGTAATTGGCCAGCTGCAGAGCCTCGCCGCTCTCCATGCTCAGGCCCGTAATATCCTCCAATCGCTGGTAGATGCTTGCCAGCCAACTGTTCTTCTCATACCACAACCAGATGCCCTTGCTATTGCGAATAGACGATGTGGCTGCTGTCGAATTTTGGCCCACACGCGTTCGCTTTAGATTGCCAAAGCCCACATCCTGCAGCTGTTCCATTTCGCTTTCGTGCATCGCATTATGGTAATAGGCCACAAAGGGATCCTCGCTCAGCAGCTCCATCTTGAATGGGGCCAGGCGACGGAAGGGGACATTATTGTCGGTGTAGCGGCACCGAAGGTTGCGCTGCTGACGCGCCGTCGGACGCAACTCACCGCGGCAGGTGCGCCTGTAAAGCTCATACTTATCCGGTTTCGAGGGCTTCTCCTCGCTTCTCTTCCCATCCTCCCCTTGATCCTCTTGAGGCGCAGTGAGAATGTGGCGCTGGCGCAACATTTCGTGCAGATAATAGATATTATCCCTTATGGCCGCCTCATGGGCGGGCTGTTGTTTCAAAATTTCACTATTTAGCATGTGGGCCAGCTTGAGGTTGCCCGTTCGGTTCAGAGCTGGCGCCAATAGTTCCAAGATCTGTAAATCGCTCACTTGGGTAATATTTTCTGGGTGCTGGTTTAAGGAACGCGCCTGTAGTAGCCACTCCACTGCATACTGGTGCTGATTCAGCTCGTGGGCATTGCGACCCATCTCGTAGCAATCGCTGGCACTCAGTTCCGCCTCCGTCTGCCTGTCCAGTATTTTGCCATCGGCGAGCTCAGACGTGGACAGTTTGTAGGTCTCTTGCAGACGTAATAGTCCACTGCCGGCGCCCAAAATATCATCCTGAGTGGGCATTGTTATATTGAGCTGCTGCAACTCATTGGCTATCGTTATTTTGTAATCGTCATAATCCTGCGTGGAGAATATCTTTTCCAACACATCATGCTTCCATTGATAGACAAATCGCCTTATGGTTACAATTGCGTTCAGCGGATTACCGTGATACGCCTCGGGATCCGACATTTCGGCCTGCAAGGCGTCCACGTAGTTCAAAAATCTAAGAGCAACAAAATTGTACTAATTTCTCTTTTGCTGCCCTCTCATTCACTTACTCTTTTATTTCTGTTTGCTTTTGTTCCACCTTATTTAAATAGTCATCGAATTTTTCCACTAAAATGTTTTCAGCCGCGAAAAGCACTTCCAGATCACTAGTGGCCGTATAGTAATCGGCGCAGGCGCTGCCCAGAAATATACAAAATATTAGAAATGTGCGCATTATGGACAGTCCACTGCTTCAGCCAATCCATTTGATACTGAGGGCTGAGATGCGTGTCCCCCGGCTGCCAGGCCATCGAGCCACTCGCTGCCGTGGCACACGCAGCTCAAATATTTACACAGTTGGTCTTATTTTTGGTCTCTGCTATACCAAGTGTTGCTAGAGCTGTTAGGTAGAATGCGTTGGAGTTGGTAATAAAAACGTTAAAAGAGTTCGTTTCCATACTCTTCAAGTTTTCATAGGAAGTCTAGAAAAACAGAGGAATTTAAGTTGCTTTTTCAAATGAAAATTAACAGATGATATACATGAACAGAAATATAAATTCAGATAAATTTAAAAACTGCCTAATTCACATTTTCAATTAGCTAAATGCGTAGGAATTGCTTATAAAAAGGTTGCAATACTAAAGTGCTTTTCCATACTATTTTACAAATTTACTCTTTTTAATTAAAATTAACAGATGATATACATGAATAGAAAGGTAAATTTATATACCAACTAATTTATATTTTCAGTTAGGTAGAATGCGTAGGAGTTGGTAATAAAAACGTTAAAAGAGTTCGTTTCCATACTATTCAAGTTTTCATAGACTTTCAAGCAAAACGGAGGAATTTAAGTTGCTCTTTTAAATGAAATCTTACAGATGATATACAAGAACAGAAATATAAATTCAGATTATATATGTACATAAACAGATATATAAATTCAGATAAATTTCATATTTCAAAAGATCCCTAAAGAGCTGTACTTTTCATCATTCTCTATTCTATGCATCGAGACATAGAAAACTGTAAAGTCCTTTGGCAAAAAACAGTAATCAACGTGTAGTTACAATTTTTAAAATAGTTCACAAAAACTTTGAAATACAGATATCACGAGTAGTTTGGCAATAGACAACCTTTCCTTCTGACGAACTATATGGTTTTTATACCCTGTACCCGTAGGGTAAAAAGGGTATATTAGGTTTGTGCAAAGTATGTAACATACAGAAGGAAGCATCTCCGACCCCATAAAGTATATATATTCTTGATCAGCATTACGAGAGAAATCGATCTAGACATGTCCGTCCGTCCGTCCGTCTGTCCGTCCGTCTGTCCGTCTGGATGAACGCGAGGATCTCAGAAACTATAAAAGCTAGAATAACCAAAGTTGGCATCCAGATTCTCCTAGGTCCGAGTAAGGACGAGTTTATTTTTTTTTTTTTTTAATTTCCTCCCTCTTCCTCCGCGACAGAATTTCGTCTATAGCGTCCACATTTCAAATGCTACCTAAACCAAACTTTGCACACATAATTTATATATAATTGTCTACTGTTTTTCATTTTTATTTTTTATTTTTTATTTTATTCAATTCGGTCAATTCTAAGAAAAGTTATTAGCGAAACAAATTCTCGCCAGTACAACCCCCACAAACTGCAGCAACAAGTTCGCTCTTCTTCTTCCTCTTTTTGCTGCTGCTATGGGCGCATATAACTCAGTGACGGAAGTTTACCTGGGTACAGGGTATTACACTGTCGGGCTTGCTCGACGGTAGCGTTCTCTCTTGTTAAAATTTGTATTTAAAAAAGTTGAAAATCCATTTCTGTCTATTCTGTTGTCTGTTTTACCTCATTCCCAACAAGCTGCTGGTCTAGATTTCAAACACAACAAAATCTACAAAGATCAGCATTATATCCATTATTTATTCTCGCTATAAGCCGATGTAGTGGCTAATAAAATAAAAACTACTTATTCGTATTAAAACTTAACTTATATTCTTTTATTCTTTTTAATATTTTGTCATTTTATTTTTAAATACTATATGTTGTATTGCTTTTAAACTTTGACAAAAAATATTTATTGGAATTACATAATTGATATTATTCAAAGGTATATTATAATATATAGATTTATTTATATTTTATCCGAACATTTTTAGCCAACGTAATATGGGTATCTATTTCTCATTTGTTTAGCTTTATTATCCACTAATTTAGCAAAGTTTCATTTGTTTTATGAAATAGAATCGATAAATGCCAGTTCAAGTTCTTTTTTAATGCCTCCACGAAAGGCGTAGAAAATGCATTTCATTGCAATTCTCCATACCCCTTTCAGAAAATTGAACTCCTCAGTTATATTTGCGTTCTTCAAATGTCTGCAGTAAGGCGCATTGTTTTATTTAGTTGTCTAGTAAGTGCTGGGGCGGTCCCAATACTCGATGGTCAAGGCAAAAACTATGCCATTTCTGTAGCCAAGTTGGGGGAGCTGTTCAACTACGATGAAGAGCTGGTAGACATGCTCGAGAGCTTTGCGGACGAGTTGGAGGAACGAGTGCTGGTTTTGAACAAGTAGGTGCTAGTATAGAAAGAATAATTTTATTTCTCATCTCGCTGCTGAAGCTATGTAGAGCAGATGCGCGAAAGGCTGGACCAAGCAGAGGTGGAAGGCCAAGAGAAGTATCTTTCGAACCCCGTTAATGCCGTCAATCTGATGCGACATATGCATGCGGACTGGCACAACTGGGTATTGTATCTGGAACAGCAGGAGTCAGCATTGGGTGAGTGCTTGGCAGAGCCAACTGACTGGGCTAACAGCGTTGACCAGGTCCTTTGATTGTTCTAGCACATGCCGCCAAGATAAGTGCAATGCAGGCCCAGCTGCCTTCTGCCAGAGATTTAAGAGAAGCCAACGTGGCTATACAGCGTTTGCAGGAAACATACAATTTAACGGGCTCCGACATAGCTGTGGGACTCTTGCAAGGCAAGCAATATAAGTGAGCTATATAGTACAACCAACATGTTTTATTATCAAGAACACACATATAATTCAGTTTTTATTAATAGCGCCTCACTCACCCCCTTGGACTGTTATGCCATGGCGCAGTATTATTTGAAACAAAAGAGCTATGAACTGGCTGCGCCCTGGCTTAAGGCAACCTTGAAGCTCTATCTGAGTAACTCGACCCAATGGGATCTCTATAAAGAACTAGGTCTGCCCATCACTGAAGTCAGTGCACTATTAGCAGATGTCCAGTTGCGTTTAGGTAAGTCTGCTTCCATTTCAAATATTCCCTAAACTCACATTCGTTTTTGCAGAGCAACCCGAGGTGGCGATCAAAATAATCGAAGCTGGCCTGGACAAATGGCCAAATGATTCAGCTTTGGTCATAGCTTACAATAAGTTGCTAAGAAAACTACGCATACTACCAAAGCCGCCTCCAACTGCTGACAACAAGTCTCAGTTCCCAGTCAAGCCGTTGCCAGAAAAAAAGAGTCCTGCGCTGACTGTCTTGCAACGTTGTTGCTCCACCGAATGTCGCAGGGATGCGCGTTTGTTCTGTCTCTATGACACTGATGCTTCGCCTTTTCTGCGACTGGCCCCTTTTAAAAAGGAAATGCTTTCCCAGGATCCCTATGTGGTGCTGTACTACGATGTCCTGTATACGCAGGAGATGTCCGAGCTGCGGCAACTGGCCCAGCCCAGTCTGGAGCGGGCTGTTACCTACAATGAATCATTGGATATACATTCGGAGGATACTGCACGTACTACAAAAGGGTATTGGCTAGAGTCTAACAGCAACAACCTGACGGAGCGTATAGACCAACGAATTAAGGATATGACCAACTTTAATCTGGCTGAATCGGAGCCGTTTCAGATCATGAACTATGGTATTGGCGGCCACTATGAGAAACATTTCGACTTTTTCAATAGCACGGCAAGTGCATCCTTTTTCCCCAACAACAACATTTCACAGTTACTTTCTTTTTAGGATGTCGTTTCCGGAGATCGCTTGGTCACGATGTTGTTCTACGTAAGTAATAGACTCTTGACTTAGCAATGCAATACCCGTTCATGGGCTTTCTTGTAGCTAAGCGGTGTGGAGCAAGGAGGTGCCACAATATTTACAGAACTAGAGCTAAGCATATACCCAGTGCCAGGTGCAGTGCTAATGTGGTACAATCTTAATCCCTGCAATGGAACTGGCGATAGACGAACAAAGCACGCCGCCTGTCCAACCCTGGTCGGTTCCAGATGGGGTATGTACATAGAAATTTCATTGAGTCGTAACTAAATAAAAGACTAACTCCTACAGTAATGACGAGATGGATAGACGAGTATGGCGAAAAGATAGGCGAGCACTGTCTACTCAAGGGTGGAAGGTCAACAATTGGTGCTGGTAGTCCCAAGACCTAAGGTCTCCGAATCAGAAGCTTTAAATTGCACAAAAAGATTCATAAACGCTTACCGATAAGGTGCAGTAAGTGGGAAAGCTATATTCGTCATGGGTATGGGTTTTAGACTTTAACTTCAAATAAAGCCCACTAAATTTAACCACAAATATTAAACCATATTACTGTGATGGTTTAATTACTTTTTAGATTACAGATCAAGCTACGTATTCAAAGTTAGTTAGGAAAGTAAAAAAAAAAAATCTGAAAAAGAATATTTTCATATTCAATCAAATAACGTTAATTTTTAACTAAAAACTATTTAATCCCTGATTGAAAAATGTATAAAACCTAAGTGTAAATCTTTGCTTTTGATTGAAAATTTTTCTTTATATTCAATCAGATATTCCTCAACTCCCATGTCAATATTGATCTAATAAATAAACCTTGTAAATAGCAGAGAATATCAATATTAATAATAGACAAACAAGATTCGACAATTACTTTTTAATAAAAGTGTTTTTTTTTTTATAAATTAAAATGTATGTAATATGAGTTATTATATTATATTATTATTAAAAATAATTAATACTGTTGGTTAAAAGAACTAATGTCCACCACATCACTTGCGATTAAATATCATCACACCTTAAATTTAATATTTTGATATTAATATCGAACTTGAAGTGTGCTTTTTTATGAGCGTGCTCTGAGAATATAACCTCTTATGGCAGTGGTCCGATTTATGCCTTGGTCATGACCAAGACAGCTGAACAAATAATTAGTCGACTCTCGTTAATTCAAACCTGCGATAATTCGAACCTCTCTATACAAAACCTCTTTAAATTTCGAACTAAATCAATACATTTTTATACACTTGGTAATACGAATGAAAAAATAATTGCTATATAACACAACACTCGACAATTCAAAGCTAAGAAAATACTTCCAAGCTCAATTCTGCAAAGAACTTAATCTTTATATAAACGAACGAAGAAATTACTACTGCGAGTTGTCCAATTATGCTGAAAATATACTTATAGTACGTTTCTTCCTTTAGAAATCATATCCTTTCCTATATGTCCTTCTGAGTAACAATCTGAAGCGAAAAGATTCTTTGAATAAACAGCGGAAATGATGCGAATTGAAGAAAATGTATTATTTGCGCTTACTGGGCCAATCAAAATCCAATTTGCCGCGCTTTAACTCTCCGTATTTCCGCGTCGGCTCCGATCAGTTTGTTGTGCAGATTTAAGAGATGTGGTTTGCGAAACAGTTGTTTGCTTGTGCAGCATTATGTTCGGCACTTGTCTGGGCCACTCCAGAGCCGGAGCTGGAGCCGGACCCAGAGCTAGAGCCGGACCCTCCAGGGTATGCTACTTCAGTGGTGGCTATGCGGCGACTACTTGCCCTCGATTCGGAGCTGCTACAGCAATTGGAGGACTATGCTGAAGATCTGCAAGAAAAGGTTAATGTTATGCGCCTGTAAGTGGTTGTTGGTGGGGTTTTGAAAAATGATTTTCTCAGAGACTCTATACGTACGTAGCCATATCGAAGAAATGCGCAAAAAGCAGGCTGCCGCGAAGCCTAACCGGGAGCAGTACTTATCCAATCCGGTGAACAGCTATTCGCTTATTCGTCACATGCACGAGGACTGGACACGCTGGCGCATGCTAATGGAACAGCCCATGGGGACAGGTACATAAGTTTCTCAGAACACTCCCCTCTACTTACTCCTATGCCCCTAGATCAAATAGCGAAGATACGTTCTTTGCTTCCCCAGCTGCCCACTGAGGACGATTTTGACGATGCGCTGAGTGGTATTCTGCGTTTGCAGAGGACTTATGGTGGGAGTGTACGGAATTATAGTGAGGGCGTGTTGGCTGGTGTGCCTTACGAGTGAGTCTGAGGAGAGAAAAGTGTGTCAGGCATATAGTTTTCTTCCCCAAAGTGTGAAGTTCGGTCCACTGGAATGTCTGGAAATAGGACAATATGCATTTGATGAACAACACGATACTTTAGCAAGGCAGTGGTTAAGTGTATCGCTTGAAGCCTATTCGAAACTTGACGAAATGGAACGCAATATCTACAAAGCGTTGAACTACGACTTGACCTATGTGTTCAGACTTTATGCAGATGCAGCTTGGACTATTGGTAGGTTAGCTGCGATCTCAACGGATTAAGAAAATGAACACCTTGTTTTTGAAAGGCCATGCTGAGGAGTCTCTCATCGCTATAAATGCAGCACTGCACTACGAACCCGACGATATTTATCTGAAGGCAGCTCAGAGTGGGTTGGTGGAGCACTTAAAAGAGAATCCACCTGGAGAGAAAACGCCAAAAGCAGCTGAAGAAAGCTATAACTATTCCACTTGGTGCCACCCCGACTTTCGCAGGCCAACCCGCCTGCATTGCCGTTATAGCAGCGACAACGCTCCTTTTCTGCTACTAGCTCCCCTAAAACTAGAACAGCTCTCACTCGACCCTCCCATAGTGCTTTACCATGACGTGCTACACAATAAGGAGCTCGTACAGCTGCAAGAACTGGCCACACCACTACTTATACCCACCGAGACCGCCGATGGAGTCGACGGACACCAAATGACTCGGATCGATGTTCGCAGCACCCAAGGCACTTGGCTGCCCCGCGACATAAGCCCGATAATTGGAAGTATCGAGCGTCGTGTAGAGTACATGACCAACTTTTCCATGACGAATGCCGATAGTTCCCAGGTGATGAACTACGGCATAGGCGGCCATTATTTCGAACATGCAGACTACTTCAATGATGCTTCACTTGTAAGAGCAAGAAAAGGCTGGGGCAATCGCATCGCCACCATAATCTTCTACGTGAGTATTTTACTTTTGAATAAAACCTTTCTGGGCCAAATACAAATCTATTCCAGCTGAGTGATGTTGAACATGGAGGTGCCACTGTCTTCACCAAGCTGGGCATTGCTCAGCAGCCACAGAAAGGAGCCGCACTCTTTTGGCACAACTTAAACAATCAAGGGCAGAACGATCCACGCACCTGGCATACCGCTTGTCCTGTACTAAAAGGCTCCAAATGGAGTGAGTAAAGGACGCCCAACATTAAAACCAATAATATGAATTACATTTCATTACAGTCATGTCCAATTGGATAATGGAAGCGGAACAGATGTTCCGAAAACCCTGCCCAGCCCGTAAATAGAATTTGTCTTGGCTGGCTAGTGGCTGTAGATAATTTTTGTATTTTGCATAATAAAACTCTTAAGTAAATACTTATAAATACAATAATAATAAATGTAAACAATTTGATTTCGAAAAGATAAGTGTTGCTCTAAAGAGCTGTCCTTTTCTGATGGCAAGCACTAGTTTGGCAAGATAATCAAAAACGAGTTAACTGAGTTTGTTTTTGTAAATCTTTAATCTTCATTTAAGATCTGTCCTTTTATGGTAAGTTTAACATGTTTTAATCATGCTTCTGTCATGATAGTTGTGGCGTTATTCCAACCGAGTTTCTCTTCAAGGAACGAACTCATTTTCTGCAAAACAAATCCCTAAAGTTAGGTCTAGAGAAAGCCAAACACATGCATTTTCACGTCAGTATCTAAAAATGTGCTCTATTAAGCAATACCCGTGCAGCTATACTTCTATAGATGCCGTTATCTTAGATTACCTCTGACTATTGGCTGCAAAATCAATTCGTTTCCATGGATATTGAATTTTTGTTATAAGAGCTCTGTTATAAATTATAAGTTATTTCACTGGCCATGATAAAAAGTCAGAGGATTCATTGGCTCCTGAAACGTACTTGTGGATCCCTGTAATCTTCCATTAACAATGCATTCTATTTTCAGACCGCCTGTTCCTATGAATTTCTTATCAGGGATATAGCCATCGCACTTTGTTATCGGTTACTCCGGTTTTCACGTTCCGCCTTCTTTTCGTAGGGGATATACTTTTCTTTTCAAGACCGAACGTCAATATTGCCATCCAAAGACCACTAAAAATGTTTTCTATTGGCGAATCTAATTAGTGGAATAATTGCAATGTGTGAAAAGTGTGCTACCGTCGTTTAGAAGTCAATTGGAAAACCGATAAAATACTTTCAGATTTGCCTCTAAATTAAAATGAGGAACATGTTTTTCTCGGCGATTCTTCTTGGGCTGCTTACCACCTTAACGAGGGTCCAGACAAAAGATGTACCTAAGAACGTTAGTTCCCACATAGCCCGATCCACGGCACATTTAGCGCATTTGATTGATCTTCAAGAAGAGATGGTCTCGCACTTGGAAGCGTACATAGAACAGTTGGAAGTCAAGAAAGCCAACATACTTACGTAAGTATATATGTACTGTAAAAAAACAGAAAGCTAATTAGAGCACTATTTTAGGGGTATAGAAATGATGAATAAATTTCAAAACGAAGCATGGACAAATGTAACAGACTTTGTGGCAAATCCTCTAAATAGCTTCGCGCTCATACGCCACATGCAGTCGGACTGGGCGTATTGGCAACTGTATATGGAGGAGCCAGTGGGGGAGGGTCAGTACTTGATTGACTTACTTATTTAATGATTGATTATCTCGTCAATTAAATGAACTGGTTGTATTAGATCATATGAAAAGTATACGCGATAATTTGGATAGCCTCCCAACGGACGTGGATCTAAGAGATGCGGCAATGGGCATTACACTGATTCATGATTATTACCACTTGGATGTTAAGGATGTGGCGCGTGGCTTGTTGGCTGGTGTGCAGTACAAGTGAGTCGAGTTTATTGGAGAAGTAATTGCTCAGCTGAACAGACTTCGTGTTTTAGCGCTACCTTCTCGGTCAGCGATTGTTTTTGGATAGCGAAAAATGCATATGAGAACGGACATTTTAAAGGGGCGGAGCAATGGCTTTTGGCTGCATTGCAGGCAAACAAATCGGAAGAGGACCCGGAACCAACAGAAGCAAACATCTACGAAAAATTGGCTGAGGCGCGCCTTGCATTAGGTAGGTGGCTGATGGCGGATACTCACTATATCTTCAACACTAACTTCAATTTGCATCCTACGGGTAGGCATGCGTGCGGAGGCGCTTAAGGACTTGGAAGCTGCTTTGGACTGGGCCCCAACTAATGCGCGTTTACTGCAGAAAAAGCAGGAGCTGCGTGTAGATTTGTTGATGAACACCACACAGTCTCCTGAGGTGATGGATTTTCGTCACGAGGACATGTGCTGTAGTGGCCTGTGTAGTCCGCGTGTCAAGAACATGTTCTGTATTTATTATGACGCGGGGTCGCCATATCTGCTACTGGCACCCGTCAAAACAGAGCTCTACTCCCTCGACCCCTATGTGGCGCTCTATCATGATGTCATTTCGCCCAACGACGCCAGCTTTATACGCGAGACGCACAAATTGCTCCTAACACCATCCGACTCCTACGATGTTTTTACAAATACTTCCAGCGTTTCTGACTATCGCACAGCAAAGTCCGTGTGGTACGATCCAGAACAGGACGAGGTGATCCAGAGGATTGAGCACCTCGTTGGTGAGCTCACGCACACAGACACAAACGCTTCGGAAATCTATCAGATAATTAACTATGGCATAGGCGGCCACTTTATTCGACATGTGGACTATCGGCAAGTCAAGGTTAGTTGGCAGTTATATCTGATGTGTGAACTGCTTCTGCGAGTATATATTTTTTTCATTGCAGCGAGTTTTCAGCGAACCCGATCGCCTAGCCACAATGATATTCTATGTAAGTACAAGCTCTACACCCATTCCCAGAATTACTTTATAAAGCCTCTCCATCTCTTAGCTGAGCGATGTGCCCCAAGGCGGCGCTACATTGTTTGGCAAATTGGATCTCGCAGTCTTCCCCAAGCTCGGTTCAGCCTTGATGTTTCATGTCCTGAACAGTACGGGCGATTTTGAGGATAAAACTGAGCACACGGGCTGTCCCGTCATAGTTGGTTCCAAGTGGAGTGAGTAATTGATAGAATTTTCTCGCAACTTAACTCTTTAGCTCATTGTTCTCTATTTAATCCGCAGTTATGAACAAGTGGATACAATATTTGGGCCAAGAGTTCAAGAGACCATGTCCGGTTGGTGGAGACCACAAAAATATTGCTTACGAGGTCCAAGATTTGTAAGAGATGGATAGAAGAACGTATTCAATCAATCAATTTTGTCTCTTCAACATTTTTCATTTATTTTTATTATTATTTGTTAAATCTTATTGCGAATTAGCCGGCGCTACAATCATTTACAAATTATTTGTGCACAATTTCGAAGTAGAATACATTTGAACATATAATTGGTATTAATAAATAATAGTTGCTTAGACTCATATGTCTGCATGTGGTCTTCCTTTTAGACGGCGGATTGGTGAGGCAACTGAAAGGGACCTGGCCAGAAATATAGAATAGAGATAATAATATAGAATAGAAATAATTTCACAGATCTATTACATTTACCAGGAAAAGTATGCGCACAAGTTCAAAGAGTAACTTTGTCGACCTAGAAATAGATGATACAGTGAATATATCCCTACAGCTATTTGTATTATTAATAAGATAATTTATTAACTTTGTTTTGGTTCATTATTTATTTATCTTAGTCATTAACTAACCTCTGTACAACTAAAAATGAAGAAAAAGGGCGAGTTTTCAACAAACAAAAAAAAGTTCGTACAAAATACTATTTTTTTGTTAATAATAATTGAAAAATTAGTATGCAGTTCGTTATCCTTTTAGGTCTTAAAATTACTTGTGCTTCGAATATCACTATCAGCTCTCAAAACGTACCAAAGTTATTTGTTATTTGGTAGTTCGTTTAGAAACTTTCATAAGAAACTTATAATTTTAAGCAAAAGTAAGACGGGCAAGACCTGCTAGTAAGGTACAGGACATAAAAATAATTAAATAAAAAATATTGGGACCAAGTTGCTTGTGAGAGTTAGAAAAGAATATTTAATAGTTGACGCCGCTCGACTCTAGCAATGATTTAATTGAATTAACAAAAAAGTTAACAAATATTTTATTTTAAAAAAATGTAAAGAAAAATTTTAATTCGATTTTTGCATAAAATTTGGGCTCGCCCGATTCTAGCATTCCCTTCTAATCCAGACCAAGACTTCACATAATAAGAAAAAAGATAGTAACTGTTGGTTGTTGGTTTATGTATTTTTCCATAATTTTGTATATTATTTGTAATACTGCTGTTATTACATTTTGTTGGTAATGTTTTGGCATTGCTTCTGATATTTTTTGTGTTATGTGGACGTATATGGGTGTGGTTTGGGTAGGTGTATAGGTGTGTGGGTGTTTGTGGGTGTGCTGAATTAATTTAGTTCCTTTCGCGTCGTGTTCGGCAGCATCAGACACATCAGACCGCCGCCCACGAGCAGCGCCGAAACAATAAACGTAGGCGCCGGGCAATACTGATCCAGCAGTTGGGCGATCACAATGTTCCCGATGATTCCTCCGAGACGAGCCGCCACCATTGAGATGGCCACACCGGTGGCGCGCAGATTGGTCGGAAATACTTCGGTGATGAGGCAGTCGAGTGCCGCATTCGCCGCGGAGATGGCGCCGCTGAAAACAGCCGATACGATCAGATTCTGTACGGAACTGCGTACAATGTACATCAGGGCCGAGCAAATACCGGCAGTCATTGTGCCCGCAATCAGGAAGAACTTGCGGCCCAACAGATCCATGCCCAAGATGGCAATCAGATTGGCAGGTAGGGCTGAAGCCAGAGAGATGAGCGACTCCAAAAACACGGATGGCGGTATGTCGGACGAACAGGTGGCGTTGAGTGCCACGTCTTGTCCCACCACATAGTCTGTGACCGTACAAACACCGGCCGACTCATTTGGGTAAGCGTGCTCAAACTCTTCGAACCGATTGAACAGCTCCGGAAACCACATCAATAGGCCGTAGTATCCAATGTGGAATGTAAAGTTAATGGTAATCGAGACAAGTGTGAACTTGAGTATGGGCTGTTTGAAGAGGGCGCGACTGTGGTCCACCATGCCCGACACCATACGACTGTACTTGTTCCTTATCGAGGTATTGCCCTCCGAGATGATCTTCTCGTCGACCTCCAGGTCTTCCACCATGTACTCCTCGGCCGGGCGCTTAGTGTTCGTCACAAAAATGCCGCGGAAGATAGCCATCGCGCGTTCTTTTTTGCCGCGCATGATCAAAAACTTGGGCGATTCCGGGAGATAGAACAGCAGAAAGCCGACTAAGAACGACGGCAGTGAACAGACCAGCAGGAAGATGCGCCATGAGTTATAGATGAAGTAAGATGTGGTGAAACCGATGTCCGTGGGGATGATCAACCAAGCCAGGCCGGCCACGAATAGGTTACCAAATGTCCAGAAGGCAGCCATGAAACTCAACATGGAGCCTCGTTTCGCTTTCGGTTGGAATTCGGCGAAGTACGACCAGATGACAGGACCACTGCCTCCCAGCCTACATGGGAGGGAAAGGAAAAAATAAATGGAATTTACTATCAGTACTGACAAGGAAATTAGTCTGTCTTTACAAGTAATTAAGAAAACATTTCAATTCGTGATGAAGCTAATGATGAACTATGGAAATACATTAATTCTATAATGTCAATCACTAAATCAGTGCAATTTATTTCACCAAGTGTTCTTCCATGGTTGCTTATTTTAAAGCCTTCCATATGGATGGGATCAGGGAAAACTACCGAATTATAGGAAAAGAATGTGTATGTAATAGCTTTTGTGCTTCAAACTGTTTTTGGTTGAGTCAGAGTACTTTGTCGGACAGATTTACATATTTTCTTTGCCCCTTTTAAGCTTTTATCTTGTACACTGGATTTCTGTGGCATTGGCCCCCAGATTAATTAGCGCAAACAGTCAATATCTTGACTGTTAAAATATATTGTTGTTTTTTACAAAACAAAGTTCATTGAATGAACACCTTAATTGCGTTAGAAGCTGAGGCGTATATTTCGAGCCTCTTGATAGAATGATTATGTGAGTATATGTATAGTATGTATATGGAATATAGAGCTATTTGGCTATGACGAATAATAATTGGAGATTTTGTTTTTTGTACTTACGCTGCGCCATTGAGAAAACGAAACAGCATAAACCATACGTAATTTTGCGAAAACGACGACGCGACAATACAGAAACCGTTCATGAAGGAGATGACAATCAACACCTTCTTGCGCCCAAAACTGTCGGCTATGCTGCCCCAAAAGTATGCGCCCACCATCATGCCAATGAAAATGATCGAATTGAGCCAGCCCTTGGTCTCCGTATTTAGATCCAGATCACATTGGGCCGATGGCAGGATGAAGGACATGCAGATAACGTCCATTTCCTCTGAAGTGCTGACCAAGCCGCAAATGGCCAGCAAGATGTAATGGAACTTGCCATAGCCGCACAGTTCGATAGCGCGCTCGAAGTTAGCGACTATCGGGGTGCGTGGTGGGGGCGCCGATCCCCCACGACCACGACCCTTTCTCTCCTCATCGGAGCCGCCGTCACCAGCAGCGCCCCCAAAGCCACGCTCTACGTCCTTCTTGCCATTATTGGCGTAGTTGCTGCTCAGGTCCCCCTCGTAGGCCTTGTTGACTGCCGCAAACTGATATTCCGGCTGCTTGGCGCCACTGCCAAGCGAATACGGTTGAATAATAGCGCGGTTCTCAACGGTCGTCGGCGATAAGCTTGGATTGCTTGCTGAGTTGCTATGATTGTAGTTTGGTTGTAGGCCAGTTTCTACATTATAGGCTGTCAAATGGAGTCAAGAGAAAAGAATTTTAATTTCAATTCCTACTTTCCTTCTCTTTGTGGCATACTTACAATCGCTTTTATTTTTTCCAAAATCACCTTTTACCATACTATATTAAAAGTTCTTGTTTAGTTTTTGTGCGCGTAGCCGAAAGGAAAAAGAATTGACTTTGATTTGTCTTTAGGGCCGGTGCTCGGGTTATCTTCTGTGAATTTACAGATCCGTTCTGCAAAATACAAGTAGGAAGGTATTTTTTAAAGAGATCATTGTTGAATATATTTCTTAGTCTTGTTTTATTTTGATCTAGTTTTATACTAAATTCCATTTCAATTCTACAAATACGACAATATACATATGTTACATCCACAGAATATATTCCTATCTGTCTGTCTGTTCGTCTGCTCGCCTGTCTGTATGAATGCAAATATCTGAGAAAATATAGGGGTTATACTTGTAGTAACCAAACTTGGATTCTCCCAAGCCGAAGAAAGGACTAGTTTGTTATTTTTGTTGTTGGTTTTTTTGTTGTTTTTTTTTATTATTTATTAAATGTTTTATTTTATTTAATTAATTAAATCTTTTAAATTAATTTTGAACATATTTTTTAAACATTTTTTTCTTATTTTTCTGAGTGGTTAGAGGGTATTCAAAAGTTGAGCCCGCTCGACTCTAGCATTCCTTTCCTGTTATCAGCTCAATGGCCAACCGTCTGGGCAAGTAAATGCCCAAAGTAAATAGCTTAAGCAATAATTGAAGCCAATAATTTATGTATATGGAAACAACGAGAAATAGTCAAAACTCAAATTTTAATTGAACGCAACTGAAAATAATTTGTATGCGAGTGCATAACACTTTTAATTGTTAAATTATAGCAACACTCCAATTAATAAAAGGGTGATGACATCCCACACATACACATACACATACATATGTGTGTATGTATTCTTAATGGCCCAATTAACAGTCGCACCAACGCGGAGGCGTCTTTAACAGTGGACTGTTAATTATACTCTCACATGCTGGCTGTTAAAAAAGACTTTGTAACGGTATATGTGAGTTCGTTACAGTCTTCATTATTTTATTCTCACTGACGCAATGTCAACTGCAGCATATCCTTTGTTTGATTAAATCTTTTTTGAATGTTAATGGAAAATCACAATACTGTATATGACACCACCAAGGGAAACGTTAATATACATACTTGTATGCATATGTGCATACATTTAGATCAAAATATATCGCAAACAAGTTGGATGAACAACAACAGGAAACATGGAATAATGCCCGATGTAATACTCGTAATGACGGGCAGGGCCAATAATTTGTTTGTTTTATGCATTCGTTTATTTTGGTATAATTCTGACATACAGAAACCGCACATCTGTGGTCTGATCTGATTATGAGTTGTTCAAATTTTTAATTTTTTTTTTTTTAATTTCTTACGCACCTTATCTTGATTCAAAATCCAAATCTTTATACTTAAAGTCCTTATGAGTTGTTTAAATTTTTTTTAAATTTCTTACGCACCTTATCTTGATTCCTTGTCTTGTTGTTGTCGTCGCTGTCGTTTTCGCAAATTTACAAATGGTTCTGCCCTCCGGACTTGGTAGGATACTTCCCCGGTAAGCGGCACTCAGCGGTTAACGGTTACGGTTTACGATTAGGGATATATTTTGTATCTTGTTTAAGTGTTTTGTGTTTGGGAGCTCCACGCAGCTTCAAAAGCAAGCGGACAATGCGATCAAACTGGTATGGGCGCAACGTTTTTATAATGCGTCCGTACGCCCGTTTGTCCGACGAGGCGTGTGTCGGTATAATTGCTCGGTATCGCTGCCTCTTTCGTGATCTCTCTCTCTCTCTCTCTCCCTCTTTGCCGTTTTCTTAGCACTTGCTGTCACAGATGCTGTAGCTGGCTACTAGCGCGTATGTACAAGTAATGCTCATGCCTAGACAGCGCCCGCCTCTTGACGTTATCGCACAGATCTCCCCACACGGAAGAGCGTCCGCCCCCGGATTCTACATATCACTGCGCTTATCTCAAAGTCTTGAAGAATAGCAGACGCAACTGTGACTGATGAAAAGTCGTAAACCTAAAGCCCCGAGTGAGTAGCAGCTGTTTGTCAACCGTGTGTATCCTACAAGTATATGAGTTGCATATTACAGTACACACGAGTATGTCATTAAATATATTTAGATAAACATATTTACATATGTATTTGAAAATATATTATATTTATTATACTTGTATATATATGTATTAGTGTACATACTTATTACATACATTATATGTAGATATTAGCTGCACATGTATTAATGCATATTACGTATTTTCTCAAAGTCTAATCTAGTCCGCCTAACGTTTACTGGACAGATGAGCTTGGGACTTATACTAGCGCTAATCACAGTCAGAAAATTTACAGTTTCTTGAGTTAGTAAACATATTTAATCAACAAACAAGCAAGTTCGAAAATTTCTGAAAACCAGAAATAAATTATACTTATGTAAAAGGAAGTGAAGTTAAAATCGGATGACCCGACCTTAAAATACTCTAAAAATTTAAAGAAATTTAATAGAAGCAACGAAATTGTAATACTTGCATTACAATTACAACCTTTTTGCGTATTCGAGCTCTCGTAGAGAGTGTATATCTCCCCTTTTCCATTACAATTGAGTCTATGCATGTCTATCTGTGTCTATGTCTGAGCATGTGTGCAGAGTGTCTCTCGAGTATCTTATAGTCTCTAAGATCTAGAACAGACTGACAGACCTTTTAGGTACAGAGTTTGCAAAGTTGGGTTTATGTAGCTTTTGAAATGCAGACACAATACTGTGTATACGAAATTCACTTTCGCGAAAATAAACTTGTTTTACCTGGGGATAAGGAGAGTCTATATCTAAGTTACATGTAAATGTAAACAAATTTGACCGAATATACATCCTTCAGGATTCGGTATCACATAATCATTAACCAGATGTAATTGCTAAATTTTATAAACAAAATTCCAGGAATTACTAGAGCTCTGGAAAATTTGCGTTTTGGAAATTCATGTTGTACACATGTGTATCTTATCCCAAGATTTGCCTCAGTCCTCCCACTGGCAGTGACTGACGTCAGTGTCAGTTAAAGTGTAGGTTCTACCCCTCCTCATACAGGTATGTTAATAAATATGTTCGTATAGTTTTTATTGCACTGTTTTTTGTTTAATGTTGGCTTTTTGGCTTGTGCCACAAATAAATTATGGCCCAGATTTTATCTGTGAAAATACAAGGGTTATCTGAAGTGCGTCAGCGGGTGAGATGCGATGAACTATTCCATGGATCAAGTTATTGCCTCGCGGTCCACCAATTGTATTTTTAAGTATGTACATATCTCGAATGTGAGTGCACGGCTTAAAATATTGCCTTGCTTATTGATGCACATACAAATGTACATACAATACATATTTATAGTATATGTGTGAAGCAATTAACTGAGACAACACGTCGTCTAGTCCATTGATAAAAGCACCAGATAGCCATCTGAGTGAGTGAATAGCAATCGCATAAAATGTGGGAGAGTAGCTCTGCATCGGCAGCATCAGCAATCGTACCAAGGGAAATATCAACAATGCAAGTAATTCTGTTTATTAACTGACAGTAATTGAATTGTCTCATAATTGGGGTCTCTCAGCTTACTGCTCGCGTGGACTTGAACGTCACGTGAAGCTTAAAGCCGAATCATTTGTTGGAGTCTGGCCGAGGGGCCGCGCCTCGCTCGAACCCTAACTCAATATCCAGTTTGGCTTCAGCGTCGATCCGCAGACGGGTCCAGATGCTCCAGAATAAGGCCTTACTGGGTTTATTACTGGGTGCGACTACTACAATCGGGCCTGATCAAAAACAATTAAAGCAAGGGGAAAATACCGCAAATATATAAATATACTCGTACTTTACATATGTTTATATGTTTATATCCGCAGCCGTGAAGGGCAATTGGATATTTTTGTTTATTTTGGACAATCAAGAACACGATGCGCATGTCGCCTCTTAGACGTCGATGTATACTGTCTCGGTGTCTCTTTGCCTCCGGCCGCCCATTTGCCGCATTTGTTTTCCGTATGAATAATCTTTGCTTTAAGCAGAAATCAATTGTGAATTTCAGAACTGTACGGCGGCGGCGCACACCAGTTCGAACCGATGTCAATCGAAGTGCGAGCGTTCCCCATCAATTTAAAACTAACAATTGGAAATACTCTGTCCCTATGTCTATGCGTGCCTATGCGAGTCTGTGTGTGACCATGTGTGCAGTACAGAGTGTCTCTCTAGTCTCTTGCTGCTGAGTTGAGAACATGGACATAGCTGCCTTTGCAGTTGACCTATCTTGATAAAGCTTGGACATATAATCACTAACTGAAAGCATTTGCTAAATTTGATGAAAAATTTCCATAATTCTGAAAAACCACTAATAGTAGCTGTGGAGAGGGGGAAAAGCATCTTGGACGAAGATTTGGTGTCTCTAGCCTTTATAATTTCTGAAATATGCAAAAAAAATTCCTTATAGGAGTGGGGGGAGTGTGGGGTAAATCAAAAAAATAAAATAAACTGTCCTGAATACATACACACATAAGGCATCTCTGAGATCCTGTTCCAGTGAGTTTGTGCGGACTCGTATTGTCATGCTGAAGAAGATAAAAATATATACTAATAAGATCTGGCGCTCTTCCTTATGCCTCTTCACCTCCCACAAAATATAATCTTGTACCTTTTGGGTACAGACAAGGGCGTACGCGGGAGGGGGCATACCCCTAGGATGGGCGCGCATTATTTAATCAAAACTGTAATTTTTTACAAGTATCCTTTCACTCCACATCCGCATTTTTCAACCGATTGACTTAGTTTGTATATTCTCAAAAAAAAAAAATACAAGAAGATCTGCAGTTTGAGTATTATTCCTAATTAAATTTTAAAAAGCTCTTAAACGTTTGTATATTTGAGTATTATTCCTATTTGATTACAAAACATTTCTTAGCTCTTAAGCTAATTACTGCGTATTTTATTTACATTTAATTTGAGTATTGTTTTTAGTATGATTTAAAAAGCCTTTTTGGTATTATTGTTGTACAGTCCATCAGTCAGTCTGAGAAATAATAACTCAACTTATGTGCGTTGATGAGTGTTTAGAAAACAGTTTTCAGCACAGCAGAATTTCAATTTTATATGGAGTCACTATATTTCCTTTTAGATTTGAGATTAAGAACTATTAGAACAAAAATATAAAATTAAAACATTAGGTTTATTCGAGTTAAATAATTAATGGTTCGACAGCATAAGGAGAGTCAGAAATAGGCAATAAATAATAGTAATGCTTAAAAGTAATTTCTCACCATACGATGATTGGTTTTCAAATCCGGATTCTCATTAATTTCATGAATTTAATTATTATAGCTATAGTTATTCACCAAAATAAACTAATAACAAGGTGCAAAACGAAAAGGAACATCCTGAATAATATTTTGTAAGCGGTGTATTTCATGAAGGGTTAGCTTTGAGAAGACGTGTCTATTTTTTAGATAAATCCATTATCCACTACGAATAAGTAACCAGAAAAGGATAAATTATATATTATATATAATATATATTTTTTTGTTAACACTATTATAACAATTTAAATGTACAGTAAAGAAAGTGACTTTTTTGGTAACGTATGAGACGTTGTCCCCTGTATCCGTAAGATAGAAAGAGTATATTTATGAAGTAGTTTGTGCAAAATAGAAGGAAGAATCTTCCACCGAATAAATTATACAAAGTCTTAATCAGCGTGACGAGACATTTTTCTATAGCTATCTAATCCTCCACTTTGGTTTCAAATTTTAGCAAAATATTTACAATTGCTAGGCGGATAGATAAGACAAGTCCGCTTTCTTACATAATATGGTTCCAGAGATCCCGACAGCAGTATAGCCGAACTAACGAACAGACGAGGGTAAATCGCTATATGGAGTTTTATTGCTCATGTAGTATTGCTAAATATAGTTTGATTGCAAACAAAATTGTAAAGATAGTCTTAGCATTGATGAGCGGAATAGAAATTATTGCGCTGGAAAGACAGGACTTTAAAAAACTTGATAGCTAATCAACTAAGGTTCCTATTTTTTCTAACTAGAAACCAGTTTGCTGAAACATTAGAAACATCAGTCGCAGATCCAAGTACAATGAACCCAAAGCTTTCTTCGCGCCACACGTGTAGAAACAGGTTACGATTTCGTAACCAATAGCATTCCCATTATCTAATATGCTGGTTAGATAATATTGGCGTTCTTGGAACTTAGCGTGCGGGGTCAAATGGCAAATCAGTTGAGCGTGGAACGCGCACAAGAACAGAGTGTATCGGTCTAACAAAAATGTTGCCAACGGGCCAGATATTCGTACTCAGGGTGTCAGCTGTGCTGTTGCTGTTGGTCGGAAACTTGGCAGCTGCCGAGTTCTATTCCTCCATTCACGAAATGACGAAGGTCTTTGGCTACGAGCAGAGACTGCTGCTGCATATGCAAAAGTTTATAGCCGATAATGAGAGCAAATTGGATTTTCTGAAGGCGTGAGTTTGTAGTCGGGCCCTGCCACACAGCATAACGTAATTAAATTGAACGCAACTCAATCAACAGACGTCTGATCGAATTTGAACGGGAGCGGGACGAAGCTGCCAGTGAGGGGGTCGCCTACTTCCAGAGTCCCCTCAACAAATTTGTGCTTACAAAGCGACTGACGCTGGACTGGCAACGCGTTGAGAATCTGATGTCAACCGAAACCGGCTCCAGTGAGTATAATGGCTTGCATAGTCTAGCTGAGACGAGATGAGTTGAGTTCCATTAATCATACGCACTGTGTGCCCTTTGCAGTGGCACTTGGACGTCTCCACAAGCTGCGTCGTAACAAGAGAATGCCCAGCTCGGGAGAAGTGGCAGGCGCCATCGATGGTCTGCTGCGTCTGCAATATATCTACCGATTACCCACTAAGGATATAGCGGCTGGCATTCTCGATGGTGTACCCTATGGGTGAGTGTTTTGCTTCGATTATACTTTCAACTAAGCAGTCTTTAATTTATTGGGCAATCATATGTACTTTATTTTCATAGATTTAAACGGGAAAATAGGAGATTTTTTAGATTGATTTCTGGATTAGTACAATTTTGAAGTATTTTTATTTAGTACACATTTTCAAGACTGTGAATTAAAATCTAGAGATGATTCAAAATTCATATTAATGGTAGGTCTCTCGATTACGGTATGATATTTTTATCATTGATGGCTTTTAATAATCAGTAAGTTGTGAAAGGATTTCCGAGTATATGATACAAATTATTAACAATGCATCCACGGTGTGACAAAAATGTTACATAAACTAAGGCATGCAGCTATATTATTTGCTGTAATTTTCAGTATATACAAAAATATATACAAATGGCAGTAATGTTGAAATTAATAAATCTTTAGTCATTTCTGAATTATACTGAATTATTACCAATATTCTTAATTTCATTTAAAAGGACGACGTCTGCTAATATTGGTTATCCACTCTTTCTTCTCGAACTGCTTTTAATAATACTGTTCGGCGAAGTCACCCAATTCGAATTGATATCTGCCCTAAACTTATAACTTAAACTCATAACACATATTGTGTTTGCCGTTTACATAAAAAATCTCTGTAACACAACATAATGTAAATCGGCTGCTTGTGCAGCGCTCTCTTGCTCTACTTAACATTGTGACTTGGCAGCGCTCTCGCTCTCATCTGATCTGAAATGCAGCTGCAATGTTAGGGTCGTGCGATGTCAAAGTCTAGTCTCGAATTGTTGCCCGCTCGCGCAGTTCAGTTCTTCGTACACGGTTGCGTCGATCTCGCTTTTTGTTGTTGCTTTTGACGAAGTCTTGGTCAGAGGCACAGCCATAATGTACTTAATAGTTGCCATTGGGGATTAACAATAAATACGTTTAACGTTGTTGAAAGTCAACTTATTTTATTTGTTGGCTATAGCTTTCAAAACAGCTGCAAAAATATTGGTAGCTCAACAATTAAGGGTAATTGTCTGTCTGTCCTGTCTGTCAATAGAGTTTGGATCAGAGAACCATATCTGCAACATTAGAAACGTTACTTCTCTTTCTTTAATTTATAAAGCAGGCGGAATATCTCTGAATATTAAAATTTTCTCAATATACAAATATTGCATAATTAAACAATATAAATTATGTGAAAAATATAATAAATATACATAAATTTTAAGCAAAACTGCATATTTGGGCAGAAAATAAATGCATTTTATTTATATTTAAATGTTTCATTCAAATTTAATTCAATGAAATTTTTCTCATTTGTGCAGCACCGAGCTAGATGCTCAGCTTTGTCTGGATATTGGACGTCAGGCGCTGCAGGATAGGAAAACGCTTCTGGCACATTCCTGGGCGCTGGAGGCACGCCAGCGCTTGAATGAAGAGTCATTGGAGCTGCAACCACAGATTCTGGCGCTACTGGTGGAGACCAAAGTGGAGCTCGAAGATTTCCAAGGGGCCAATAGCACCTATCACGAGCTTATCGAATTACAGCCTGCTAGCGAGCAGCATGCCAAGAATTACGAGACTTTTATGCAGGCCAACAAGGACAAACTATCGCAGTCGAAGAATATTACGGATGAGCATGATGTAAAGCTAAATTGATATTCCAAATATTCGGTTGACTGATTTGTGCTAACTTTGCAGCCCGTGCCGGAGGATTTTACAGGCCTACCGGACGATATCCTATATCGATACACTTGCAGCGGTCACATTCGACCACCACCCGCTGAGTTCCGGGACCTGCGCTGCGGCTTCATGTCAGAAACGCATCCTTTTCTAATCCTAGCACCCCTGAAAGTCGAGGAGCTGCAGCGGGAGCCGCTGCTAGTCGTTTATCACGATGTCATTTATCAGGGCGAAATCGATATTATCAAGAACCTGACCAAGAACAGATTTGAACGCGCCCAAGTGATGGGAGACAATACCTCGGTGGTTTCGACCGTACGCACGAGCCAGTTTCAATTCATGCCCAAAACAACGCACAAGGTGCTGCAAACCATAGATGAACGTGTGGCCGACATGACCAATTTGAACATGGACTATGCCGAGGATCATCAGTTTTCCAATTACGGAGTAGGCGGCCACTATGCACAGCACTTTGATTATTTCCTTCCGCCGGCGGTGAGTAAAATGAGTTTGATATTTACGATATGTTGATAAACTAATTTAAAATTTATTTGGAAGCTTGATGGAAAACATAGCTATAATTGAATTTATAACGACTTGTACCTAAAATTGCACATAACATTGTACCTAACATTGTACCTAACATTGTAGCTAACATAGTAGCTAACATAGTAGCTAACATTGTAGCTAATATTGTACCTAACATTGTACCTAACATTGTACATAACATTGTTATACTCTGTACATGAAATGTACAGAAGTATATTAGGTTTGCGGGAGCTGAAAAATGTAACAGGCAGAAGGAGGCGTGGTAGACCCCACAAAGTATATATATTCTTGATCAGCATGACGAGACGAGTCGATCTAGCCCTGTTTGTCTGTCTGTCCGTCCGTATGAACACCTGGATCTCAGAGACTATAAGAGATATAGACACCAAATTTTGCACAAAGATGCCTTATATGTGTATTCTATACGAGTTTGCTTTATGTTTTTTATTTTCCCCCCCACTTCCAACCTATGGGGGTTTTCCCGAATTTCCATTCGTATAATCGCCTATATCTCGGAGACTATAAGACCTAGGAACACCAAATTTTAGTCTCAAATGCCTTATGTGAATACGCAGACCTCTCCCCAGAAAATCGCGATTTTCTCTAACTCCCGTAATTCTTGCAATTTTGAACTAAAATTTTGGAAATACCCCGAGTTAGTTATTATGTATCCGTATGCCAAGTTTCACTATGATAGACCAATTTAACAAGAAGTTATAGCCATAAATATATTTGCTGCTGCAGCGCTGCTCAAGCGCTGCCCGCGGCTGTTGTTGATGTTGCTGTTTGGCTGACATGTTTACACAGACACGAATAGATGCGCATAGGCATTCAACACTCGCACACTCATTTTACGGGTACAGGGTATAACAATATTAAATGCTCAGATTACAAATAATAGATATGAAGTTTGTTTTAAAAACTGTTAATGACACTTAAAAAATAATGGGGGCTTGGCATAGCTGAAGTAGATAGCAGAAATCCCATTGTCAGTTCGTTTCTGGATAATAATGGGTAATAATGTATAATAATATTAGCTTGTAGAGCAATACTGAAATTTCGTCGTATAAAAAAATAGACGACACAATCCGTGATGGCATTTCCTTGCAACAAACGTGGACGGTCAAATAATAAAGTAATTTAATAATAATAATTGTACTAATAATAAACGTTTTCTGATTTTAATTGAACACGAATACAAATTAAGGAGTGTGTGCCTTAAATAAGTACTTGAAAACTACTATTACATTAAAATGGTAAACAAATATTCAACGAATACTTAAAGACAATTTGTTATTATACAACTAAATCCATATACTTACAACTTGTTAACATAATTGTGACTGCTTTCCTATACTTACCTCATTATTATTTCGTTATTATTTGCTCTTACAATTCTTGGTATATTGTAATTGTTAGAAGCTGAATACATCCCTATCGTGGTTGAAGCTCTCAAATGCATTTTACAACTAATGATTAGCTTGAAATCATTTCAGTTTGAAACAAATCAGGTGAGTCCTGTCGAATGGGGCAACCGCATCGCCACAGTGCTGTTCTATGTAAGTATGCCAGTCTATTATTATGGCATTTGTTGTTTACTCACATCTCCGCCTCACACAGCTCTCGGACGTGGCTCAGGGTGGTGGCACCGCCTTTCCACGCCTCAAACAATTACTGATGCCCAAGAAGGGATCTGCAGCCTTTTGGTATAATTTACATGCCAGTGGTGCGCCTAACGAGCAGACTTTGCATGGCGCCTGCCCCATTATTGTGGGCTCCAAGTGGGGTGAGTGTACGGAATTCTTTTCAAAATTATTTCAACAATTTTATGTTGTTTACTTTGCAGTTCAAAATCGTTGGATACGAGAGTACATACAGGGCGATAAGCGTCCTTGCGAGGTCTGGGATGATTCACTCGCCTCCTATAGCCAAATAAAAAACCTAAAACATAAGCTGCAATAATAAAAGACTTTTGAATTTGAATACCTGAAGTTTCACTATTGAGGAAACCCCCTTCAAATACTCATAGTTTTTATTGATTTTCTTTTGAAATTTCTTACATATCCTCTCGAAAGTAAATGTAACATTTATTTTTGCAACTGGCCAAGAAAGCTGTCCTTGGCTCTCTGCTTGAAATCCTCTTCATTTCCCGTCAGTATGTATAATATGTGTGTATTTGCATAAAATTCAATATGACTTAGAACTAAACATCTATACTCGTATAATGTAATGTGTGTAGTTAATGCGAGTAACGCTTACATTTTGCATAATTGGGTTCACAATAGTTATAATTATAGCAATGCATGGATTTTTGTTGTTGTATAACATTTGAAAACTTCATCACACATCGATTTAAAAACAACACTGCATCAAAACATTTTATCATTTTTTTTCTTACATTTTTGATTTTATTTTTTAAATTTTTTTTGTAAATTTTCTTACTTTTAACATTTTTATTTCTTTTTTTGAATTTTATTCATTTTTTTAAGCTTTTTTATTGTTTTTAAATACTTGCATAAATAAAATAGTTCAGTTTCGCTTTTAAAAGGACACCAAGTGAAAGTTTCTTTGATTACGCAATGTTCTTTTTAGTGTATAAAGTTTTTAAATTCGCTTTTGTTTTCTTTTTGTTCTTTTTTGATTTCTCTCGGCAAAGTTGACTTTTGTGGTGGGCGAATTGCTCCAAGTTGGTGATGAAAGCTTTAGGTTTCACTTTTAGTTATAGATTTAGTTTTAGTTTCAGTTTTTTAGTGCATGGTTAAACACTTCCAAAGGGATTGTCTTGTAGGGGCACATGTTACATACATCGATATATAAATAGTTGTAGATTAATAGACAAATATATTTACTTTGTTTATGTAACACTGATATACAATCATTTAACATTTGCAGCTAAACATTTAAAATTTGACTAGTTGTTTTCAAATGTCTCAATAGATTTTAACTAAAACTCTTACCTCGGCCACTCCATTTGTTTATTGAAATTACAGTTTCTTTTTCTTATATTAATTACCATTTTTTCTTCATATTTTTTTGTACATCTATACACATGTATATAATTTGCAACGCTGTAAGTTTACATTAATGAATAAACATAGTATATTGAATCGTATATGTATTTTGATATATATATATATATATATTTTGTGTAGCACATGCTTGATAATTGTAAGTTAAATAACTTTTGCTGAAATATTCATTTCGCGCTTAAATGCTAAACTTGCCGTTTTGTTCTCTGCTTTTGACATTATGTATTTGTATATAGAGAGCTTTGATATTTGTGTATGCGATTTCTTTGCCATTAAATTGAACTGGAATTAAAACTCACATCGATATATATGAAGGTATTGGTCATGTGTAGAGACCATAGATATATGCATAATATTTTTTTTTTCAATTTTTTCGACGCTTGCTTGCATTTTCAAGGAATCTATAGCTTCATTTTACACTTCTCCACAGCCACAGCTTCCACATCCGCTCCGCATATACTTCTCATCCAATTTCCATACAATTCAAACTGTCAGGCCATTTAGATTTCGTAATTACGAAATTTATTGGCCACATCGGTGTTCTCGCCACCCCACTCGCCCTTGCGATTGCCGTAGTAGAGTGCAGCCCCGCCCTCGGAGGCACGGCGATGGGCCGGGTTGGGAGAGGCAGCGGACAAGCCACCGCTGCTGCTGGCCCCAGTCGGGGCGCTAGTCTCCGGCAACATACGATCCTTGGTCTTGGGTGTGGCCCAATGCATGGACTTTGATTAAAGGCAGAATATTTTTTGGAAATTAAATGAATGTGGCTTATGAATGAAAATCAAAATATAGTAATATAGTATAGCATGGGGTGTGTATTTACAATCGAGCATTGCTGGCTAACACTCAGAGTTTTTGGATGAAGAGGTACGTTCAAAAAATTAAGAAAAAACTATATACATATGTATATGTAGGTATGTGCGCAGGGAACGGGCTGCTTAGAGGACTTCTTTATCTTGGGTCATTTGCATAACACTAGATTAGACATATATTTTGTATGGTTCCAATACAATAAAGTATACGTGTAAAAAGTTGTATTAAGGAGTGGTGCCCCATGTGCCGCTTTCAATAAAGAAATGGTGAAAATATGCATTTGTTTTAAATAAAATAAAAACATTTAAAATAAAACTCAACAAATCACAAATTAAACATGTAACCGAAATAAATATTTATTGTACTGTTTACCATTTTTGTGGTAGTTTCAAAATAATGTCAAACTTTTACATAATTTCTTTTTCAGAGTTCTATTCGGACCTATCTATCACGTGTTAGATGTCTATACGTCAGATGTTTACAAGTCAGATATTTACACGTCAGATGTTTACACGTCAGATGTTTACACGTCAGATGTTTACACGTCAGTTATCTCCAGTTCAACCAATATTGACACAGAAAGATAGTCAGGTCATGCAGAAATTTAATCACATTGTTTTGTAAAGGCTTTCGGTTTCCCAATTCATTCGAATACCTTTTAGGGATTACTTAATGATTATATTTTTCCTATTTAAGCTGATGCAGATTAGCTTTAAAGGTAAATAAGCAATCTCTGGCACAATTTTCATAAAGTTTTGTGGCATATTCATTTTTTTTGCAGTGTATGCGAAATTGCTTGTCCAGCAAACCACAAAACTATTTCAGCCTGGCCGCCCAAAGTGGTCATAAATTGGAGGAATGCTCGTCATGCTTTAACAGACATCAAAACTTGAAATTGCCGACTGAAATTGCAGGCAACCGCAAAGGCTGCAAATTAGGTGAAAATTTGATGTTGATGGCAGATATGCAAGGGGCGTCTCTACAAGCAAGGACGACAGCAACAACAACAACAGCGACGACGACGACGACGACAGGGACAGATGTCATGCGAGTTGGTTATTTGCCGTCAGAATGCTGATGGATGCGCAGCCACTTCCGTTGGACAGAGGAACGGAAATTAGCATAGAGCAAGTAAACAGGCCAGTAAATCGTCTGGGCATGCATAACAATATCAAATGCGGAACAACAATACTATAAAGTGGCAGTCAGTTGCGTCCGTGACGCGACAGGAGATTAGTTATTCCATTCCATTCCGTGGTGCGACAACTGAGCGTATACTTAATGTTTGTTTTATCCAACTTCTGACAAATGTATACAAAACAATTGCAAAGCTGTCAAAAAGTACTAAAGTACTGAATTCCATGAAAATGAATTAATAATTTCATTCACAGCTCGCATTTCTCTTGACTTCAAAAACTATTCTCATGATTGATGAACAATTAATTAATGATAATGTTTCTTTGCTGACCAGTCTTTGTACTTAAAGTTTTACGAAATATAACAAAAATTGTTTTATTTTCAAAAAGTTGCCAGTGTTTGCTTTTTGGTGTTCGAGTGTGAACAGAGTAGGTTGAAATACGGCTCGCTAGCTCAAAATTAAGTGTGCTATCCTTGCTGCTTTCTTGTAACATGTTTTATGGCCATTAGCTCATAGTTTCAGGCACCCTTACTGCTATCATTAAATGGAAAGCCCTGTGTGACAACAACAAACACATATTGTGTATTTTACGACAACTGCTGGCAAACACAACCGTAGCTAAGCTATTGAGAGTAAGGATCAACTGTAGGTAAGTATGTAAGTGTAGGATTTTAAGGAGTAAAGGCCTTTTCAACAAAATTTAATTTATATTTTGGTAAGGCATGATTTCTTGTAAAAGTTCAGTTAGGTTTTAGATTTCATTAAACAATTATTAAACAAATATAAAAAGTTATGTGTCAACTTAATGGGAAACTTGCATATTTTGTAATTAGGCGTACTATAGTATAACCATTTGTAAAGATCTAGTTAAAGAATTTAAGCTTCTTTGTATTAAAAGATAATAGTTTTCTTATACAAGTATATGGAAGAATGGCCTATAAAAACGGGCAGTGTATAATTATAATATTTTGAGTGAGATTTTGAATATGATTCTGGAAACTAAAAACTTAAATCAAAATTATTTATAGCTCACAACAATATAATAATTTATAGCAAAATACTTATTTAGAAGCGTTGTAGTTTCAGATTTTATTACCCAGAATATTGTGCAGCTGTTTTATGAAAATTGAAAACTTTTGACAACAGGATTATAATTATATATATTTTTTTTAATTGTCCATAATTGTTATATTTTCTTTAAAGAAATTTTAATTCGAAAAATTATAAAATATTAAGACAGAAGAATTGCTAAATATTTTTCATATTTCATCTGATTCTTCCCGTACATTTTATCTTCACTTTCAAACTACTTTAGTGTTGTATACAGGTAGGTATTCCTGTATACTAGTTTTAATTTCATTTTTAACAAATCAAAAAACGTCTATAAATATCAAATAAAACAATTGCTAAATATTTTAAAGGGACTCTTTAATAAATGCAAGCATTAAGTTTTGGAAAAGTTTCAAATCATTTCTTATGTTTTACAAGGCCAAATAATGTTAAGAAATGTTTTGAAAGCAGAAATACTTCAGTAAAGGTAGAAAAAATGCAAAAACACAAAAAGTAGCCACAGAGTAATATTCGACAATTTAGAGGGGGGTTTTTTTGATGCTAGTGATCTAATATTAGGTTGGAAGACTACAGTTAGTTACACAAAGATTATGAGAAGCATTAAGCGGCACATCGGCACCCAGTTCCTTTTTGTGGCTCACACTCAGACACACATATATACACAGACTACAGACTTTTTTTGGTTTTTGGATTCAGGTTTTGGTTTTGTTTGATTTATTTGACTACTTCTCTGCTTTGCATTGTTCCTTGCCCAATGGTCATACCTCTTTATCCACTTTCTCCGCAATTGTGTATCTTCTCACCTGACCCACGTGCTCCTTCATACCCAGCCACTGCTTGTAGCTCATGGAGATTCCGCTGTTGCGCCACTTGTCGTAGATGGCGCGCTTCTCCGGATCGCAGAGCGTCTCCTTGGCCTCCTGCAACATAGCGTGGAAGAAGAAGACGTTTGCTTAAAAATATATTTAAATAATACGTTCCACTGCCTATTTGCATTTGACACACTTTATGCCCATGGGCAGCTCCGTCTCTCCATGTGATGAAAGTCAAATTTATTCAAGTGCAAAATCAACTGAAATTCAAAGCCCTTTTCGTTTGCCACTGCATATTAATCAATTTTCATAGCATACTTATTGGCATGCCTGCTCTGTGATTTACGAGTATGTGAACAAGACGCGCGCACACACACACAGCACAGCACAACATAAACACACATTGGCAGACCCAGAGTAATGCCATAAAACAGCACACATACAAACACATCAAGCAGAACAGCGAAGCAAATTATCCGCCCACTGCCAGCCTCTTAGTTATTCAGTGCAAACACACTCTTATGCTACTCTCGTATAAACTATATGTAAGGAGGACTGAGATTTTATTGTGGACCTGCTTGTTATTTGGCCGGCTACATGATAATCAATTATTTTGCTACTCATTGATTAACTGGGTCAGCCAATGTCCAATGAAGGTAGCACGACTTACACGGCTCGTTATCACCCGGAAGGCAAGTCCTTCAACAACCTTTCAAGCACATGTTTAGCCGATGGTCTGATTTAATTAATACTTGGATGCATACCAGACATATTTACTGAAGACTTGTCAGTTAAAATGAAAGCTGCATTTCTATTTCTATATGTATTTCTATTTATATTTTATATATATTTATGTTTGAAAAAAATGGTTGATGAAACAGAATTTAATTTCAAACTATAAATCTAATAATGTCCAACAAATTGCAAATGCATTTAATTTGGTTTATAAACTAATTCAATTGCTTACGAGCTAAAGCAAAACCGGTCGAAAAGAAGCAGAATTGTTTATTCATGTTCATTAAACATTAAACAGGACTCGCACAAGACCTTGAAAACGGAAAAGGCGTCTTGTGTTATTCGGGAATATTAAACTGAACACAATTTCTCCCAGTTTTCTTAAAGGTGATTTGGAAAACAATCTGTTATGCTGTTTCTTATTGAAGCAGGAAAAGCAAAATCTACTTTTGTTTCAAAAAACTTTAATCTGCAATTAACCTATAGCCTGAACGGTTCAGTTCGACTGGATTTGACTGCAATATGGAATAGGAATGAAGAAATGCATAACTTATTATATTTTGTTGCCTATATTTCCTTGATATTTCGCTTTTTATCGTTATCCTATCATTGCTAGATCTGTGTGCACAGCAAATCAGCGTGCAAGACCTCACACCAGTCCTCATGGCAACCTGTGTCTAACAGCACGGACCACAAGGTCCACAGCACGGGCCGCAGCATGAGAAGGAGCACTGAAGGTAGGCCGGGGTGCAGGGTGTACAGCAGAGCTCGACGCAGCAGCCCTTGCAGCAGGGTCCGCCGCATGGCGGTCCACACTCGGGGCAACAACCGCACGGACCTCCACACATTTTAGATTGAAATTGAATCTAAAATTGGTAGAAAAATGACCTGCGACTACACAGCAATAGGTATTATCCTGTTTTCCTTCTAAAAAAGCCACATGGACCGCTGTAAACAGTCGGATTAAATAAGGATCATTTCAAGTAGAGCAATACTTGTACTTGCCTTGGCTTGATTACGGAAAAAGGACAAGCTGAATGTTGTAACAAAAAACTATTTCTTTGTTGCCGATGTTGAAAGTTTGAATTTTGAGTAAAGAATGAGTTTGGAAAATGTGTGAAAATGTAAAACCTGAAGGATGCTGGAGTGGAATATCAAAGACGGCTGAGTTAAAATATTTATGTTTATATATGCTAAACACACATCTAGAAGCGTTAAAACTCTGCCCATCAAGCTATTTCATAAGCCTAATATGACCCTCATTTACATTTAAGTTTAAGAAGTTGTCGTAATTGAAAATGTATATTTATTTGTATGCCATTTAAAGGCATAAAGTAAAGGCTGTAAAGTAAATCAATCCATCAAATATATAATATTTTATGCCTTATTCTTAATATGATCCTCATTTACAATTAAGTTTAAGAAGTTGTCGTCTTTTAAAATGTAGCTTTCTTTTAATGCCATTTAAAGGCTAAGAACTTCAATTGCTTAAAAACTTTTATTTTTAAGACTTTTTAGTCTAAATAGTAAATAGTAATTATTTAATTTGCTGAAAAATTTATGTGTGGGCGAACGAACTAAATTTGAAAAGCTGACTATCCAATCACAATGCAGGCTCCAAAGCTGATTAAAACACAAAAATGAATTGTTTCATAGACAAACTCATTAGTGTTTAATTACATCGAAATAATTATATTGTGAATATATATTCAAACGGATAAGGCACTTGGATTATTAGTTGTATTCTGGCTTGCTCCCCTAAGTACATATGTCACTGGCCAGCTCTAATCTATGAATAAAACATATCTTTGGCAAAAATATGCCCAAGTCGAGGTGCTTGAATAAAAGTTAGATGACAGCTGATAAATATTACTTAACCTTTGCTAACGGAAGTCAAAGAAATAAATATTGTAATGTATATTATTAGACTTCTGATGTTATCTGACACAATTTTCATTTTTTACAATTATAAATATTATCATTGATCAGAAAAACTATGATTTATTAGACTGTGACAAAAACAAACTATAACTTTTAAAATTCGAACTCAATTGTAAATTAAATTGTTCATTCAAATTTCTAGATATAAATTGTATGATGTTAGTTGTAGTTGCTTTTTAATTAATTTATTTTTGATTATTGCTATTTAATTATTTTTATTTATTACAGCACAGCATCGCAAGCGGTTCAATTTTGAAATCCTAAATAAATAAGTTGCGCCGCTCACAATTTTGCAACCAATTTCATTTGCATAACCCGTGCTATATCTATTTTTAATCAAACATTTAGCGGTTTATTTGTTTTGGTCTGATACAAGCATGACCTTGTCTTCAGGGACTATGGACTGCGAATGACTGAGTTTTGTCATGTCTGGCCAGAGCCTGCGGCAGTTGCTGTCAAGTTGAGATCCTTGGCTGCCAATGGCAGCTGAAAATTGAGTTGTAACTTGTTTGCAGGCACAACTTTGTTTCGATTTCTCTGTATACCCTGCACCCGAAGGGCTTATGTAAAGTGTGTAACACGCAGAGGGGAGGTTATTCCTGTCCATAAAGCATATAGTATCGATCTACCTGTCTAAATTTATGTCTAGACTATAACATACGCTAAACCTTCATTGATCCAGATTTGTATGTAGACTCCTCCAATTCCCAGATAGCAGGAGTTTATTTTTTCTTTTCTATTATCCTTCTCCTCACCTTCTCACTACAGAATACTGTTCTCACTTCCTAAGCTAAATAGGTTAAACTATTAATACTTTTTCTGTACCTCAATTTTTACAACTCATCGATTTATGCCAAGAAAAGTTATTAGTGAAACATTTGCTCACCTGCTTATTTTTTCTCCTGCTATGCACACCTATAAAAACTCATATAACAGAGTGGCGGAGGTTTGTTGGCTACAGGGTATTACACTGTTTGTCTTGTTGAACTCTAACATTCTCTTTTGATTATTTTTTGCGTTAGATACGAAACATGCCCCAGCGATATAATAATAAACTGCCTGCTAGACATGTGTGTGCATGCCTATCTGGGGCCTCGCATCCCATAGCCTTATAATTTTTGCATGGTGCCTGTGTGTGGCACTTGGCTTTAAAAGGCTCTTTAAGCTTTATGTCTAAAAATCGGAGCCTCGCACTTTAAGCGTTTCATGGTCGTCCACAAACTTTCTCCATTGGTTTTATTGCTCGCCACGTACATAAAACCTACGGTACCTATAAAATTCCAACATGGCTACATGTACTGTATCTACATATATATGCCCTGTATATACAAGGCAGATCTACATAAAAGGTTGTTGTTGTTATTACGCCCGCGCGTATGCAAACAAGAATTTACGGCGTGTCCAGCTCGTGTGCAGAAATATGTCCGTACATATGTTTGTTTGTATTTACGGGCTGCAAATTGTAGTGTTATTTTTATGGTCCGACCCATAAGTCACATTACGCCAGACTTGACTTTTTGCCGCTGGACAAAAATATTTTCCAGGAAAGTGAAAAACATTCAACATTAACTTGGCCGTAGCTGAAATTGCCAGAATAAACATTTTTCTACGGCGGCGTGGAAAGGTCAAGCAAACGTCAATTTTAAATAAACTTTTGACATATTTTCAAATGATTTTTTATCCTAATAGCATCGTTCAGACTCATGAGAAACAATTAAAATTAGCCACAAAATTCACTTTGTAGTTACAAAGTATTGCATCATTGTACTAATAGGAATTGAATTTTTGAATTTGAAAAAAAGAGCCAACTGCTTAAAAATAAGCTCAATGTGTTGGTTTCACTTTTGTTTCTGAGTGAGCTTATTGTTTCATTATTCGTAGTTATTTTGTGGAACTTGTGTTCAAATATCAGACTGGCTCCAGCCCTAGCAATGAAAATGTTTTCTACTGTTTTACATAGATTTTTTATAGTTTTACTCTTTGGAAAAGGGTATATTTTATACATGATAAGCTAAAAAAAAATAGTCTTGAATATAGGTACACTGCTTGGGAACAATCGAACCCTTGATCTTCTTTGATAATTCGAAAAGTACCTAAATTAAAATACGATGCCTCCTCCTAAATATATCTCTGTGCTGCCTAAATCCATTTTCGGCCAATTACTATATTTAAGTATATTTTCATTATTATTATATTATTTTAGGTGGATCAGTTTCTTCTACACCTCTTCAGAATGCTTTTGAAAATATTATTAAAGTTTGTCTGTTCTTGAGTGTTCATATCTACTATAGATGTTAGGTATACTGATATACTGATATAACACACATTCTTTAGAGGAAATAATGATATGCACATTTTTATTAACTCAAGATATATAGTAGCAGGAATCCCCCAATGCGCGTTCGTTCCTTGAGTAAGCAGTCGGTTCTGTTTTCGCCGCCACCATCATGACAAGAACCATGATTAAAAATTGTCAAATTGATCATAAAATTTAATAAACATCCAACCTAGCACAGGTATTAAATAAAGATTAAAGATTTATAGAAAGAAGAAAAAGATATAGTGCCAATTATTCATATACTTGTATATTGTGTGCAAAACTGCATAAATTAATTACCATAATTACTTTTCTAAATTTGTTACTTCTAAGCTTTAGTGCAAATATTATTTAATTTAGCCATTAAGCAAATTGTTTAAATAAATAGCAAACTATCGTTTGTTTTTGAATAAAAACAACTATCAACAGAATGTTTAAGCTTTAAAGTGTATTTGATTTTGGACTTAACATACAACATCCCAAATCTGCAATTGCCTATCAATATCGGAGCTTCTTTTTTTTTGTTTCACGTATTCCTATATAATTAGTTAAAAGGTAGTTTGTAAACAATACCAGTAGTGTTGATTGATTGATTGATTTCACGAATAATAGCTTTAAACATATTGAAATACGAGCATTATACAGCATCATAGGCAATCTGAATGTATTACCTATTTGTTGTTTCCTGCCTGCCCCCACTCTCTCCTCCCGCCATCATCAGCCATCCATTTTTTTTTTTCATTACTTTTCTTTTGATAGTTGATATACGCATATAATGTACACACATGCACATTGATATGTAAATTGTTGTTTGCTTTTTATTTTCTTTTTTTTTTATTCCTATATAATTAGTTAAAAGATAATTTGTAAATACTAACTGTAGTGTTGACTCAAAATTGATTTCACGAATAAAAGCTGTAAACATTTTGAAATACGAGTTCTATACGGCATCACAGACAATACGAGTGTGGTTCCCCCTGCCAGTCCCCACCCTCTCCTCCCGCCATCATCAGCCATCCATTCTGAATGCCTGCATGCATCCGTTAGAGGTTTTTTTCTGATAGTGCAACACTTTGTTGATAACTATGGCAAACGCACTCCACATATACACATGCACATTTATATGTAAATTGTTGTATTATTTTTTGTTCTCGTCATGAAAAATCAATAAACGCTTTGCAAATAAAATATAGGTAATTTATTTTATCTCGTTTGTTGAGGGCAGGCGTTGCGCTCCTTCCCCACAGCCGGCCCACTCCTGTGGGTGCCTGTTTTTCATTGTCGTTTGGAAAATTCAATTTCAGGCTTTTGTCAGTGGGTCCCGCTATTGAGGAGTGTTAGTGTGCGTGTGCATGTGTGTGTGTATGTGTGCGGCACGCATTGTTTTATGCAGTCAAAAGTTATTCTGAGCGGTCTGTTCTCGTTTGTATATTTGTGCTATATATTGGCTTGCTCTTCTGTTTGGAATCCGGATTTTTTTTTTTTTACTTAGCAGCGTCAAATTGTTCGGTAATGTGAAATCAGCGCAGCTTTCAATTCCCCTCCCCTCCCATGGCCAGGACGAGGAAAAATGTTGAACATGTTTCACCTGCCCTTTTCAAGTTTTGACGAGCACATTAAACATATTGCCTGCCGCTGCCGAAATAATCGTGAGTAGGGCAGATGCGAGTACTTCATTAAATATGCAAAATGCTTGACTGCCTCAATTCTTGATGTTGTTTTTGTTTTGTGTTAGCCTCTTACCTTCAGTTGCTGGAACTTGGCCTCTGCCTCCTTGTTGCCGCTGTTCTTGTCGGGATGATATTGGAGGGCCAGCACCTTGTACTCGGCCTGTATCTGCTCGGGCTGTGCATGAAATGAAAAATGAAAAGCCACCAGAGACAAAGTTAAGTAAATGGAAATATAAAATTCTCTTTTCTTTGCGCTCCTTATTAACTAAAACATTTTGGGGCATAAATATTTTAAAAAGTCACAGGCAAGCATATTTTATAATGGCTATATTCCTGATGTCGTGCACGATTCTGATGCGCCACCCTCCTTTGTTGTTATATTTCCCGCCTTTATCACCAGCAAATACGACTACACAGTACAGTGGGACAACACCATCTAAATATTAGACAAATTAAAAAGTACTCAAAATAAAAGGACACTACAACTTTCCCCTCTTCTGATTATAACTTTCGAATTGAAATTTAATTTAAAAGCCAGTCGTGAATTGTTCAATTCTTATATATATTCCAGCACAAAAGTTATATTTAAGAATTAAAAATATTAAATTTAATATGGCTTATTCTCAAAGATTGTGCATATTAATGTAAGCAATGTAAGAATGTCTTTATCTTAAATCACGGCTTAATGTATGCAGAAACAAGATAGTTATTCCCATATATATTTTATTATTAAATAGAATGGAAGAAATGGAAAATGGAGTTAGCTTTTACTAAGGCTTTAACCCCTTCCAAAGTAACTTTGTCCGATTTCAATGTCGTTTTTTGCATTGGATAGAAAATATAAAATATACGTGTTTTATGGTTGTTTGAAATTTTGTGCGTCAAGCTTGTTGAGAGGTCAGCAAATTGCTCTTATTTAATTTAAATGAAAATCCAGTTTGCGAAAAGCCAGCGCAATTTGGAAATTTGCATCTTAGCCGTCTATCTATCCTGGCTGACCATTTTGGTTGAATTTGCTCCGTAGATGCTATTTTGAATTTCTTGTTAAACTCGCGTTGAATAGTGGAACATTGCAAAATAATTGAGTTTAAGACATACGAAGGGTCAATAAACAAAAAGCCAGCTTCCTAAATTTATTTATCTAGGCCTTGAAATCGTGTAGGAAGGCAGCCAGAATATATTTCGAATTTAATAAAGCAGCTGCCTTAAATAGCATGTTAAGTTAATTTCAATTTCAAGAAAATGAAAAAAACTTTTTGTTTTTGAAGTAAATAGGCCGAGACCTGTAGGTCTTTGATCTTACAATACTTTTCAATTACACTTTTCAATTCTTAACCAAAACATCAAATATTTCAATGTGCTTAATTCAGCTTAAAGTATTCCGTCAGAGACCCACTGTACACAATCTGATTAGTATGGGTGGCGCAGGGAAGACGCCCGCATATCTCTTGCTCAGATTTCCGTACGCCTCGTTAGTCAAGTGAACAAGGCAAGCAAACTCAGACGCAGACGTCTGCCTACCTTCCTCTCTCCCTCCCAACCACCCAACCAGCCAACCACCCATTCACCTAACCAGCCACACTGCAGTGGCGCCTGCTCCGGCTCCCGCTCCGGCTCCCGCTCCGGCTGCTGCTCCTGCGGTGGTGCATGTTTCTGTGGCGCAGCAGGCATCGCTCAGGTAAAAACTGTCAAGAGCAGCAAAGCCGCAAGGCCGCAAGGCCTCCACAGACCTGGCATTAGGAATTGAATCATCAAAAGTGCGTGGCATAACAATAAGCACACACTAAGCCGCGCATTACTTCTGTCTGCGCACTTGGCGAGTGGGTGTATGGGAGTGTGTGGGCTTGGGGGCGTGGGCGCAGGAGGAGGCGTCGCAAATAGCGTTTTCGCGCGAAACATAAAACCACTTGAATAAATAGAAATGTTACTTTCTGGCACGCATTTAAGTGCAAGAAATTGATCTTCTCTGAAAAGGGGGACAATTTTTTCAGCATTTCAGCAAAATTGAAATTGAAGGCAAATGGAATTTTAAGGCAAAGGGTATTTAAGACAATCAAACCATTTTACGTATATACAAGCCATTTATAACATACTTGTAAAGTTCCTTAAAAAATCTAGTTCTATTACAATTTCACAAAATCTTCATGAATGCACCCATTAACTTTTTCATATAAACTAACCCATTATCATATTATTTTTAAGTTAAGCTCAAGGCCACGTCACTATAGCCATAGCTTATCTGTAATTTAATAATTAATTTTAAGCTGTAAATAAATAAATAAATAAATAAATAAAAGAAAATCAATTTGTTGCAGAAGAAATTTTGTTAAGAGTGAGACTGATTAAAACTAAAATTTCTCATGTTTATTTTAGATGCTTTTTTTTTGCAATATACACAAAAGAAAACTGAAGGAAGGCCTGAATTTCTGGTTAACTCAATCGTATTATCAATTTTAGGCGCAGTATAAAGCAAACTTTATTTATTGTGCATATTTATTTATTTGTGAAAGCGGAATATAAGACACATATGTTCGAGTAAAATGGAAGTTATTTAAGTGTTGATTTTTATATTATTTATATTTTTTCTAAAAGTCAGCTAATTTAATCAAGCAGATATAATCTTCCCGTGAAGCGTTGCTCCAAAAATTATAAAGCTTTACAAAGGATTTGTATTTCTATTACATAAATAATTTGCGAATTCAACCGAGCCCGTGCTGCGCCATCAAGTGCGAGTGAAAGTTAAAACAGGATAATGAAAAGGCATCAAGAAACAATGCTATTGAATGCAAGCGAAGCCAACCTAGATACTTGAATGAAATTTGTTGAAATGCGTTAATCTGCCTGCAACATTACGTGTCAAGTTCATCTTGGTAGTCGATAATAATCAGTTAATAATCAGCTACCTCTGAGCAAATAACTGAACACCACGGCTGTGTCTTGAGACGGAGATCGCCGAACTGGCTGCTATGTCTTCCCCTCGCCAGGTCTGTGATTTTCCAAACTCTTGCACTGACAGCACTTCGCTCTAGGATTGACATAGTTTGTTGGACTTTTCACAAGTTAGGCTTATTAAAAAAAGATTTATACTTTTTTCTTAACTTTCTTGTTAAATTAATTTGTTTTGCTTGTTTGGTCTCTGCTTGCGAAGGTTGCACAATTCAAGCGTTAACTATCATGGAGAAAGTTGTGTAGTTTCTTTAAATGCAATTAAACAACTATATATAATTTTGTTTGAAAGCCAATTAAATAAGAACTTATTTATACAGATGTTTCTATATGGAAATAGCCATTCAACTACCTCAAAAGCATTAAAAATGCAACACAGCTTTGTTGGCATTTTATAAATGTGATAATAAGTTAAGGGTAAGGATATTCAAATGTTGTAATATAAATATAACATACAAATTAAGAATTAAATTGACGTAAGGTATTAGACGAAGTACTTGTAATCAGTAACAATAGTAGTTGTAGAATAGCTTAGTTTGCTATTATTATTATTGTTATTATTATTATTATTATTATTATTATTATTATTATTATTATTATTATTATTATTATTATTATTATTATTATTATTATTATTATTATTATTATTATTATTATTATTATTATTATTATTATTATTATTATTATTATTATTATTATTATTATTATTATTATTATTATTATTATTATTCTTATTATTATTATTTTTATTATTGCCAATTCCACTTACAATTGAAAATTGCAAATGCCAGCTTTTGAAATCTCCTGTTATTAGCAATGGTGATGTGATGTTATTAAAGGTACTTCTGAGGTTTTTTATTGCGAAGAGGCTTATTCGGTGGAATGAATGATGAGATTATTGTGAACTTTATTTGAGAATATATTTCTTACTGCTACTGTGTCGAAGGCCGAAGTGTTGATAATGATTTGTTGTTGTTCTATGGAGTCAATGTTTGTCAATGTGTATTTTTGGTAGAGTCTATAATTGATTGGGATGAGTATATTATGTGTAATATTTATGTGTAGTGTACAGGTGTGTTTCTTGTAAATAAATTATTTTAGAGTTTTGATTTTTTATGAGAATTTGCAACTCGTAATAATTATTTATGTAACCATTTAAATTCCATTGAAGGACTACAAGTATTAACATTTATCAGAAATGGTTTTTTGTTGTTTGAAGAAATGTTGTTTTATACAGACTTTGAAAAAAGAGAAATGAGATAAATTACAAGTTTTTATGTTTTGTTCATTTTCATCCTTAGATTCAAGAGGAAATTTAAGAAAGAGAATTTCGATTGTTACTGAAAGATCGAAGATTAAGGTCCTTGGTGAGTTGAGTGGATCCATGATTGTATCATAGATATCTGCGAAAGAGGTGGTTCTTCTTTCTATTGGGCTGTTGGTTTGTAGATTTTGTTGGGTGTCTTGGGTGTGGCTCGATAGTTTGATGATTTGGGTAGATGAGGTGGGTGTTGTGTGTGTCGGCTTCGAGCATATGGTGTAGGTTGATGGGTATAGCGGGAACTATATATTGAGGGCGCGGTTTCCTTGGCACAGGCTCCTACTACAGTTGTGTGTTGATCCATGGATGGGTTAGCGGCTGCTGTAGGGCCCTTGTAATTGGTAGATGAGCGCCGAAATTTCAGGCAGTTGCGGGGTCTAAGAGGAAGAGGTATGTATGGGCGAACTTTGATTCTTTCATATCCTATCATTATAGTTTCCGGAATTGTCAGGGATGCAAAAGTTAGTATGGTGACGCCGGTTTCTATGCGTATGAAGTTTTCTGTTTTGAATATTTTCCGCACTTCTACAATGTTTTGTGTTTTTAGCTCTTCCAAAATTATTGTTTCATCGATGCTGCGAAGTTCGTTCGAATAGATTACGCCTTTGGAGAAGTCTAGTGTTTTGTGCTCGCTAACAGCGACAGGGAAGTCGATGAAAGAAGTTAATTTCAATAGTTTTTCTGCCTGCATAGGGTTTTTTGTTTTGATTAACAGATTTCCTGCTTTTGTTTTCTTACAAGAGTCCACTTCTCCGTTGCATTGGTGGTCGATCACTTTTTTTATTACAAAGGGATTCACTGTTCCAAAAGTTTGGTTGTCGGTTCTAGTGATTGTGATGTATTTTTCGTTACTGTTGTTAATCAAAAGACTATTTAATTCTGGTGGATGAGACATTGTTTTTGGTTTT